GCAGCCTGGGAACAGGTGTCCCCGTGCTCCCGGTAACCTCCCGGCTCCCCCGAGGCGCGCCAGCGAAAGGTTAGCCCCTGTCGCTTTTCAGGCTAACAAAGTCCAAGGAGGAGGGAGGATATTGCTTCCTCGGGCTAAAAAATTGCAATAAGCAGAAGCCAGTTGTAAATGCTTGGAAAGAAGGAAGGAAAAGAGAGAAGGGAGGGGGGAAGAGGGGAAGGAAGGAAGGAAGGAAGGAAGGAAGGAAGGAAGGAAGGAAGGAAGGAAGGAGGGAGGAGAGGGAGAGGGAGAGAAGGAGGGAGGAAGGAGGGAGGAGGGAGGGGAGGGAAGGAAGGAGGGAAGAAGGAAGGAGGGAAGAAGGAGGAAGGAGGGAAGGAAGGAAGGGAGGAGGAGAGGGAGGAAGGAAAGGAAGAAGGAGGGTAAGGAGAAGATCTTCGCATGCCTGTAGTCCCAGCTACTCGGGAGGCTGAGGCAGGAGGATCGCTTGAGCCCAGGAGTTTGAGGTTGCTGTGAGCGAGGCTGACGCCATGGTACTCTAGCCTGGGCAATAGAGTGGGACTCTGTCTCAAAACAACAACACCTTCCTTCTTGCCTAGACAAACAGCAAGTTACACAAATTCCTCCACTTTCTGCTTAGCTCAAACAGCACCGTTTGGCCTTCCCTTCCATCCCTGCCGTCCCGAGAGCTCCACCCCCGAGACCGGGCTCGGGGCAAGCGCACGTTCGACGGCGGGGCGGGGCCTCCACGCCCTTCGTCCCCAGACCGGCCCGTCGGGTCGCTGATGGGGCTGTCCCCGGGTCGGGGCCCTTGTCTGCTGCTATCGGCCGAGCTGAGGAGCAGCCTGGGGGAATGAGGAGACCCGGGCCTGATTCCAAAGTCACCGCCTACTAAGGAGCCACTGAACTTGGCCGAGCTCTTCACCGCAGCTCTGCTCCGCGTCTTGTGAAGATCGAGCGACAAGATTTGCCTCCAGGTCCTTGGTGAGATCTCGGCTCTGCACGGCTGTGAGGCCCGTCATAAACGCTGCCCAGCTCCCGCCACAGTGACTCCGGGCCTCTCCTGCCCACGTGGGTTCTGTGACTTCCTCTCCGGTCACCGGGGCAGGGTCACTCGGCACGTGGCCACACGCTCCGCGGGGCATTCTCCGTTCTGCGGCTCTAACTCCCAGCCACAGCCGTTCATCAGCAGCGTGGCAGGAGGGACCGTGTCTCACACGTCACTATCCCTAGTCCCAGCCCCCTTCGTTCTTCTTCTGCAGCTCTGCTAAGTGCCAGGAGGCGCCAATCAAATGCCCGAGCGCCCGAGCCGACGGGTGCACTTGCTCAGGCCGTCCGGCTCCCCGCTTTATCCGGGGACCACGCACTTGCCTTCAATCGCTGCTCCTTACTTCCCACGCCAGGTGGGCAGCGTGGGTGTGTGGCGTCAGAGTCGAGGTGCGGGGACCGCAGGCGGGGCAGGGAGGAAGCCAGCAGCTTTTACAATGACACACCCACCACCGACTCCGGCTGACCCCACCCAGCCACCACCCAGACGGCCGAGACTCGAACACGTGTCCTCGTTTCTTGGAATGCAAGGTCAGACCTCGCCCCGGGCCCTGTGAGGCTCCTGTCCTAGCTGAGGACACAACAGCAGAAGCAGATGTTACCGGACACGGCGCCAAACACCGTTACGCCACTGCACATCCTGTCAAGCAAATCCCGGTGCAAAATTCGTATTTTTAGTGTGCTTTTTCAAGTTTGCTGTACGCGTCATCTCGAAAAGCACTTACCTGTCAAAGTGATACGTCTTATTGATGGAGGGGTGCCCAGGACGGTCACACTTCACCAGGACTGTTTCCTAGCAGGAGAGAGGGAAGACGACACGGTCAGACTTCGTGGGGCCACGTTCACCGAACACCGCGCGGAGCTGGCAGAGGGCAGCCTCCGGGCCAGCCCAGCCCGCCGCCCGGCTCTGCACACGGCTCTCTCGCCGACCGCCGGCGGCTGCCCCTGACTCACAGCGGAGACCACGCGGCCCCCAACCTGTGCATTTGCTACTTGGCCCTTTAGAGAAAGAGCTTGCTGCCCCGGCACAGAGAAGACAGTCAAACGCACCGAGAAACACACAGCGGGCTCCCCCTTCTGCAACGGACGGAGGCTCCAGCCGGCCGAGATTCCTGGCTCTCGGAGCACTGGGCATTTCGAGCGGGGATGAGGTTTCCAGGGGGCTAGAGCAGTCGCATCTGAGACATCGTTCCAACTCAGTTACAACTGGCGGAACTGAAACATTCGATTTTGAAACACATCAACTCTTTCTATATATATTAGTTGGCCAATTAATTTCTTTCTATTTATAGTAGAGACGGGGTCTCGCTCTTGCTCAGGCTGGTTTAGAACTCTCGACCTCGAGCAATCCGCCCGCCTCCGCCTCCCAGAGTGCTGGGATGACAGGCGTGAGACACCGCGCACGTGGTGGCGCATGCCTGTAGTCCCAGCTACTCGGGAGGCTGAGGCAGGAGGATCGCTTGAGCCCAGGAGTTTGAGGTTGCTGTGAGCGAGGCTGACGCCACGGCGCTCACTCTAGCCTGGGCAACAAAGTGAGACTCTGTCTCAAAAAAAAAAGAAAAAAAGGAGAAACAGGTGAAAACACCAAGGTTCGCAATGTCCGACCCGCAAGCTCAGGGACTCCATGTAAGGAACATAAAAAGCCGTGAAAATGAGCCTGAGCCTGAACGGCCCAAGGCTATTTAGTTTCATTCCGCAGTGGGATGATGGCTCCATTGCAAACATCTGCGATGTTTCCAGAAGCAACGTTCAATTATTCCAAACACAGCTTAGATGCTCTTTCCTGCCCATCCAAAAACCCCCTAATGCACAATGCTAAACACCCCAAATTCTCACCAAAAAAGTCTCACATCCCCAGGCTTTTTAGATGATTCGACAGCACCATTCTTTTCCAGATGGGGACTGCCCATCAGGGGCGGCTGTGATGAAGACGCCCCCGGGACCAGACACGCAGACCCCCCTGCACAGCAGACCCTAGGACCCAGGCCCACCTGCCCACCTGTGCACCTGCCCACCTCGTGGAACTGCGGGGCTCAAACAGAGTAACGCTGGGGAAGGGCCCGACTGGGAGCTGACAATCAGCAAGTCGCTTTCCATTCAGCTTTATCATCGATCAGCTTTATCATCTATCAGCTTTATCATCTATCAGCTTTATCATCTATCAGCTTTATCATCTATCAGCTTTATCATCTATCAGCGTTATCATCTATCAGCTTTATCATCGATCAGCTTTATCAGCCTGTATCATCCATTTCCGTCCTTGATCCACGATCCAATTTCCCAGGATAGCTTGCAAAGGGCCAGACCATAAAATCCCTTGTCATCAAAACTTAGAGCTAAACGTGAATTTTAGTCCAACCGCTGCATTTCACAGAGAGAAACCTGCGGCCGGGGAAGATGCGTGGACCACGCTCAGACCGAAGCTCCTGGCTCCTGCCGTAGCTCTCCCGGCACCGTGCTCCGCCTTCCTGAAGCAGGTCTGAGGCTTCTCCGGGCCTCGAAAGCTCGACCGCCAGAGCAGCGGCAGCCCCCACCTCCTCGGGGGACGTGGGAGCCGGGGCGGGGACTCCCCGCAGCACCCCAGCAGGACGGAGCGTGACCCCGGGCAGGAGGCAGCCGCTGAGCAGTGTCTTTGCGGAACATCCCCTAGACACCACCCTGGGGGGCAGCGTCTCCCCCTTGCAGGGCACCCGCCGGCGGCCGCTGTGGCCGGTGGGCTCTCCTGGGAGGGGTGTTGCAGTGCCACGGCCCACGGGGCCACGACGGCCCCCCAGGATGACGAGAAGGCTGGTCTTTGGCACCTCGGTGTGTTCAACAGCCGCCTCTGAGCAGCCCTCACATCAGTGCGGATAAACCTTAGCAAGACCGCACTGAGCATGTCAACCAAGTCCCCAGAAAGGGCGGCTGAAACCAAGCAGTGGCTTCCCAGGAGCCCCTCCAGATAGGAAGGCTCGCCCGCAGATGACTGTCTGCAACGCGTACGTATTACTGGTGTCTGTGTCGATCTGTATTTAGCACAAGACGTCGTCTAAGCAGGATTCAAGATAGTGCACGCCTGGACGTGGGGGCAGGGTGGGGTGGGGGCCACGGAGGGGGTGGGGCATTGCGGACACTCCCACTTCCGACTGGGTGACAGTCACAGAAGTTCGTTATAGTGTCAAAGTAAACACGCAGGCATGGATGTGGAATTGCGCTGTGTCTCCACATCTCACACACACACACACACACACACACACACACACTAGAGCCACCAGGCGGGCTGTGGGGTACGCCCGCGGTCCTCAGGCCCGGCCCCGCCTCAGAAAAGCTGGAAGGAAAGACGGGGGGGAGGCTAAAGATTAAGACTTAAAGGACATCGAATTAAAAATCGGGCAAGACCACGGTGCCGAGCCGAGGCCGGTCACGCGGGCGGTGTGACCACAGGAAAGGAAACCAGGGACCCCCGCAGAGCGGGGTCCGCCCCCCTGCAGGGAGTCGCGGGGAGCGGTGAGGAAGGGGGTTCGGGGCCCCGGACGGCCCCTCCCTCCGCCTGGCCGGCGGTCTCAAGGGCGTTTGGCTCTCACTGTTAATACTACATTGAGTCACGCATCCGTCCTGCGTGATTGTTTCGTATTGTGTTTATTTTGCAACGGGAAGTTTAAAGAGAGGAAAAGTAACTAAGCAAGGAACTAAGCGAGGAAGGCGTGAGGTCAGCCCGGCAGCCGCGGGTCATGCTGGAAGGTGCCCTGCCCACGACCCCGGAACCTTCCCCGGCACGGCCAGGCCCGTCCCGCTCTGCAGGAACGCAGCGGCTCCTCCTCCCCACCGCCCGGTCCGCCTCCTCTCGCTGCTGCCGGCTTGGAGTACAGGACAGACACTCCTCGGGTGGCAGCGGATGCCAGTGCCGGGTGACACTTCATGCATGTTTGATGACGGCCTCAGGACGGGCACCCGGCGTGGCGCCGGCGGTGCCGGGACAGTGGATTCCAGGTGCCCCGCACACGCGTGCACACGGACCTCCTTCGCAGTGCTCTGGACGCGTCCACACTGAGTGACTCTGTTTACCACTCATCTGATGGGGACTCAAGGACAAGTGTCCATTTCCTTGTCTTTTAAATAAGCAGCTGGAAGAATCTAATTGTTGCTTTGGAGTGTGCTACTAATCAGCGTTCTCACCTGGCTCCGGGCGGCTCGGGCCTCTGGTTCTGTGATGCAGATTAAATTGCATACTCACCAAACGAGACCGTATTAGGGACGTTTGCGGCAACAGCATTGTACTCCTAGAGGCACCGTGCAAAAGTGGGCCGCTTTCCAAAAGAGCTTCGTACAGAAGCAGCCCACGCCGTGTGCGCCTCGCTGCACGTGAGGGATGTCTTCTGAAAAGACAGCAATGTCCTCCCCGGAGCTGGGGGTGAGGGACACACCCTTTCCACGACCCAGGTTTCAAGATGTGAAATGACTGACTGGTAGAAGAGAAACAATAAAATATAAAGAATCCGTTTGAAGTAAATGATGGGAACCCAAAGATGATTTCTTCCTTAAATCCCCGCAACTCCTAAAAAAAAAGAAAAAAAGTCCAAGTCTTCCTCTGACTATAAAACTTGCTACTATAACAATTTTCAATTCTTTGAAATTGGTTCATATTTGTGAAACTAAATCTTCGTCGTAAAACAGCCTTTTTTAGACCCAGAATGTTCTGGCTGGAAAAAAAAAATAACAAATTCCAGCAGGCCTGGGGAAGTTGGTGTATCAGCACTTGGCTCACAACTCAGGTCTTCAGGCTTCCCCTGCACACGACACCGTCTGTCACAGCAGGGACAGGACCGCTGGAGGGGCGAGCTAGGAGCTGGGGTGCCTTGGTGTGTCACTCAAGTGACAGCCGCATGCTGGAAAGCAGCCCCGCCCCATCTGCCCCACCGGATCATCCCTGCCCGATCTGCCCCGCCCGATCCACCTGAGGAGCAAGACCGGAGCCTTGCCCCGCTGAGGCACGGAGTCCAGGGACGCAGACCCACGAGGGGACAAGCTGACAGGCCGATTCACTAAATGCCATTGAGTACCCTGAAGACGATATCGACGCAAGAAGACTGCAAAAAGAGGCGGTCCAATCTAGACGGGGTCCCAAGAGAGGGCCTTGTGGGGAAGTGGCGTCCACGCGGGCAATCGCGAGGCGAGTGCCGGCCAGCCGGGGAACACAGACAGGACAGGTGTTCCGAGCAGAGGGAAGGGCACCTGCAAAGCAACCAAGGCGGGGCGGCCTCACAACCAGGACAGGAGTGAGGTCTCTCCCCCTACCCAGCTCCGCCCAGGTGCACCCCAGCGCCGGGCCGGGAGGCCGCCTGCCCACACGGCATCTCACGGGAGGGCTCCCTCGGCTGGGGCGGGACGGACTGCACACGGCGCCCTGCGCGAGCTGTGCTGCTGGCGGGGATGTCTCGGGTGCCCACGCTCCTGGCTGTGGCTGCCCGAGGCACCCAGGTGAGCCTGCGCTAACGGGAACAGGCGGTGCGTTGAGAGCCACGTGGGCTCCGAGCCCAGAACTTTGCCTCAGGTGTGCCAAGTCCGTCCCTCCTGTTGGGCCTCTAGGAAAACATTCCTCAGGCCAACTGCAGATATTTAAATACGTGTCACTTGGCCACCAGGCCCTGCAGGCAGATCCGCGGTAACACGACGCAACGCCGGGATCCTGCACTCCCACTCCCGCGCCAGATCAGCACACGCAGGCCGACCAGAATGAAAAACGCGAATAAGAAATCGCTGACGACGACAGTCACCAGGACCCGGGTCCGCGGCCAGCTCCTCCATCTGAGGCTGATTTTACTTACAGGCTGAATCCCAAACAGCTAATCGTTGAATTGGGTTGCAGATGGAAACGAAATGCTGTTTCCCGTCCAACTCCAACTCAAACTCCCTTTTTCGGCTTTTGGAAACAAAAACACAGGGCAGCGGCCAAGAGGGAGGAGGCCACAGAGCCGACCGCTTGCTCTCTGAGCAGATTCAGCGGCAGGAAGCCCTTTCGCAAGCGGGTCTGCAAAATGAAAAGACAACTTGGATTCGACCGATTTTTAGAAAGCACGTAATTCGAAATGCCCCAGTCAAAAGGAAGCTTGTCACGTTTTGATGGGTAAGATACAGAAAAACCCAAACCTTTGAGATGTGAAGATTCAGGGGGGATTTCGCAGAAACCAACGAGGACTGCCAGCCAAGCGGACACAAATGACAAAGATGACAATGACAACAAAAGCAAGTCTCCACCACCCTGGGGCCGGGACGCGCAGACAGGCTGGGAAGGCCAGCGGGCCGGACGCTCAGCCCGCCTGCCGAGGGCAGGTCCCGGGGCTCCCCTGAACCCCAGTTCTGACAGCGGGAGCTCATCCGTCTCCTTTGCCAGATGAGGTAATACGGGTGGTCTGGGCAACACGCAGCGAACGCATCAAGCGGCATAAGAAAAACTACTTAAAAACAAGAAAATTTTAAAGTGTTTATTTCCTGAAACCCCGTCAAAGGAATTTTTTAATACAGCTATAACAATTTTCTTGGTCTCTTTGTAAAAAAGCAAGGCCACCAATCTGTTAACTGAAACTACAAAGAGCTGCTGAAGCCTACCAATGTGACCACAAGAAGACTGATTCAGAGGACAGGCCTGTGACACAGCGAGTGACATGGACAGCGACCAGCACCACATTCAGAATGCTGAAAACAGGCCGGGCACGGTGGCTCACGCCTGTAACCCTAGCGATCTGGGAGGCCCAGGCGGGAGGATTGCCTGAGCTCAGGAGTTCGAGACCAGCCTGAGCAAGAGCGAGATCCTGTCTCTACTATAAATAGAAAGAAGTTAGCCAAACAACTAAAAATAGAAAAAAATTAGCCAGGTATGGTGACGCATACCTGTAGTCCCAGCTACTCGGGAGGCTGAGGCAGGAGGTTTGCCTGAGCCCAGGAGTTTGAGGTTGCTGTGAGCTAGGCTGATGCCATGGCATTATAGCCCGGGCAACAGAGTGAGACTCTGTCTCAAAAAAAAAAAGTTGAAAACACTGTAACCTGCATGGCCTGAGATTTCCACATCACATTCAAAATTATGAATATTAATTGTTTAGCATTTCATATGGTCTCTAAATTTGTTCTGTGGTTGTCACAATAATCTAGGGTGAAGCCTGAGCCCGACCTATTTTCCCGACTGTCATTTGTGGGGGCTTTCTGGCCTGCGCGGGGGTGGAGGAGGGAAGGCAGCGAGTCTGCAGGTGCCACCACCTGCGCCCGACGTCCTGGCCGCTCTCGAGTCACGGGTCTTCCTGCACAGCCCCTCCCCGTCCTTGTCGCGGCTGAGGGTCCGAACTAGAGAACGCATCGCCTTGCCTGTCAGTGCTGCAGTCCACCTCCTCAACTCACGAGGGCTTTGAGAAACACGGTCACCGCGCCCCGAGTCATGCCTCCTGCAAGTCTAGAATGGCAACGGCCACGCTTAGCACCCCTGACGTTATAGCCGCACCTCTTCTCTCCACGCCCTGAAGTTCAGAACTGAACTCCTATTTGCACCGATGGAGCTTTTGGGCTGGAAAACTAGTGAAAGTGAAGCCACTTCCTCCCACACACCTCCAGGCCGGGGGCGGTTTCGGGTGAGAGAAGCCCACTGAGGCCTGAATGAACGTCAGGTTCTGAGGCAGAACTCAAGAAACGGCCGCAAGCCTCGCCGCTTCAGCCCGAACCTGAGAGACATCGTCCTGTGTTCTCTGCGTCTCCGAGTCGCCCGGGGAACACCACCCGGCAGAAAGCTTTCCTTTAGAGGAGAATTCAGACGCGTGTGGCAGGAAACTCTACTCACATCATCAGCTGCACGGACCGCTTCTGCAGAGACGGCGCTGGGGGGACAAAGCAACAATTAAAATGCACATCACGAGGAAACTGCCGTTCGACTCCCCCGTATCCCAACCCTAAAACGCTCCGGGTTCCTCTGCCGTCCTGCTTACTTCCGCCTCTTCCCGCCGGTCCCCGTCCCCTGACCTTGGGGCTGTCCCTGCTCCAGCCGGCTGTCCCCACCCCGCTCAGGTGTGTCTCTCCTTCTGTCCCCGCCAACGTCCACCCACTGCCTTCGCCCTTGTCCCGTTTATTTTTCTTTACTCTTCATTTCTCATTCCCGTCTCTCCCAGCCCTCATATTGTCTCCTGGAATTTTCCCCTGAACCCTCTGCCCTGCACTTCTCGTTTCACGCCGCCCCTCGGAGGCTCGTTGGGGCCACCCGTGTCCCCCCGAGCCGCACTCAAGTGCCCCTGCACGCACAGCCCAGCGGGGCGCGGCTGATGGAGGACAGGAGCAGGGCGAGGTCGCGCCTCGGGGACTTGGGCACCTGCGAGCAGCGGTGGACTCAAAAAATGCACCACGTTTCCGCACAAAAGCGAAAGGGAGTGAACGGCGTGGAAGGAAAACCAAGGTGCCCGAGGCCTCCCGCGCAGCCCTGGGGTGGGGACAGCGGCAGCCCGCCCCCGCCGGCCGGGGAAACGCGCCCGCCTCAACTGCCCGACGGCGCTGAACCGAGGCAGTGCAACTGGGCGGCTGGATCCCTGATTTCACTTAATTTGCTTTCGTTTACATTTATCAGCCTCTTGCGGCAGTCGGCCACCCTAGCGCGACTCAGAAGCAGGTTGATAATGAGGCACAAGCTGTCTGTAAGGCCGTTTGAAAGGCAGGTTTGGAAAGCTCCTCGCATTTTAGGGCTTCTGCGACAGGCTGAGCATCCCTAACGCAGAAATCCAGACTTTCCGAGCGCCCCGCGGCACCAGAGGACGTGCGCACTGGAGCAGCTCGGACCTCAGGTTCCGGGCGGGGACACTGGACCAGCGCGGGCATCACCTGAAATCCGAGGCCCCCCGGTCCCAGGCATCTCGAATCAGGGTCACTCAGCTGCCCCCGTCACCTGCCGCGCTCGGTGTGCTCTACGCTCCGCCCTTTGACAAATGACAATGGCTGCCAGCCACGGACCGACACTAGTGCCACAGCGGGCAGACCAAAGGCTTAAACTTTGAAAACAAAACATTTCAATCACTGTAAAAAAAAATTTATATATATATGAGCCATTTCACACCATAGGACCGACCAAGGGCCCTGAGAGCAGCGCTGGGCCGGGGCAGGCCAGGGGGAGGCAGGGAGCCCTGAGCAGGGCTGGGAGGCAAGGGCGGGCCTCTGCGGGAAACGAAGTCGGTGCCCCCCTGACACGGAGACACAAGGGGAGGGCCACAGGCACGTGGCCTGTGGGACGGATGGATGCTCCAGAGGCCAGCGCGGAGAGGCCTGCCCCAGGCGGCAGCGACGTTGCCATGCGTGACTTTAACACACACAGACACACACTGACACACACACACATGCACACACACGCATGCACACACACACACACACACACAGACACACATACACACAAACACACACACACACACACACACAGACACACACACACACACACACACACACACACACACACAGACACACAGAGACACACACACACATACACACACAGACACACAGACACACACACACACACACACACACACACAGACACACACACACACACAGACACACACACACACACACACAGACACACACACACACACACACACACACACACAGACACACACACACACACACACACACACAGAGACACACACACGCACACGCATGCACACACGGCGCAAACACAATTACCTGTTCTGTGAAACGGCGTCGCCAGACCCGTGGTCCAGAGGCAGCAGCGGGCGGACCCGGCAGTGCACCCGCACATTGCCCCTCAGCTCCTGCGGTGGGGAGGGCAGATGTCAACTCGGGGCCAGGTGGCGGCTGGGCCACCCCAAAGGGCACGCCCTGAGCGGCGCAGCCCGGGCCGTGGCGAGAGATTGCGGCACACGCCTGGCACTTGGAAAGGCCCCGGAGCCCCGAGAGTCCCACTCTGCGCTCTTCTGACGCACACTGGACAAGCCTGTTTGCTGGGCAAACGGCGCCACTCGGGAGCATCGGGGAAATGCCCTGCAGAGGAGCGCGGGCTCAGTCTGCCAGGCAGTGTGGAGGATTCTGGAAACTCAGCCCTTCCGCTTGTCAGCCGTTACCTGTACACACGTGTGCGGTGTCACGGCCCACCGTGCAGACCCGCCGCGCCTGCGTGGAAGGGAGGACCACACGCCCAGCGTTTGAACTGCTACACGGACACAGGTCGAAACGCCTCCGGTTCAGCCGCGTGGCCGGAGGTGGAGTGTCCTGCGGGCTGCGCGCTGGCGCTAGGCTCCTCTGGCGCGGGGCTCGCTGCTTCTGGGCGAGCTGACGCAGCCCTGCGACTCCCTCCCTCACTGTGCCGGCGAGTCCCACGCCCCCGTCCCTGCATGACCCCAGGGCCGCCCCAGGAGGCTGCCCCGCTTCCCCGGGACACGGAGAACCCTGGACTCGGTTCCTCCCGTGCAGGCGCGAGGATCCAATGGTGACAAGCACCGAAATGCTTTCAAGAGTGCCTGGTACACAGTGGGCGCTCAATGAACGCTCTCGCGCAGCCGTGTGCGCAGTGCTGAGCCGCACGAGCAGATGCGCCCAGACTCAGGCTTACTCTCGGCCTTGTGCGACACTAGGGAACGACTCGCCGCGCAGGGGCCCAGGGGCGCCGGCGTCAGGGACGGGCACGGCTCGGCCAGGACACCAACCCCACGGAGGCACGTTCCGTCCAGCGGATCCTCACCTTTGGCCGCCTCGTGTTGGTCAATGGAAACACGAGTCTTAACTTTATATTTTAAATTTTAAATTTAGGCCGGGCACAGTGGGTCATGCCTGTGATCCTAGCTCTCTGGGAGGCCGAGGTGGGCGGATTGCTCGAGGTCAAGAGTTCGAAACCAGCCTGAGCAAGAGCGAGACCCCGTCTCTACTATAAATAAAAAGGAAATTAATTGGCCAACTAATATATATATAGAGAAAAAATTAGCCGGGCATGGTGGCACATGCCTGTAGTCCCAGCTACTCGGGAGGCTGAGGCAGGAGGATCGCCTGAGCCCAGGAGTTTGAGGTTGCTGTGAGCGAGGCTGACGCCACGGCACTCACTCTAGCCTGGGCAACAAAGCCAGACTCTGTCTCAAAAAATTTTTTTAAAATTAAAAATAAATAAATTTTAAATGTAAAAACTCTAAATGTCACGGGCTCTTTGATCTTGTTCCTCTTGGGAAAGGGAGGGAGGCACGGGCAAGAGGACACCCAGGCCAGGAGGGGCCAGCCCTGCTCACCCCGTCTTTGGTCCTCAGCACCCGTCTCCTCCCCCCAGCACGACCTGCCCCTGGTCTGAGCACGTCCCAGCCCTGCCGCGGCCACCAGCACCTGGAGACACTGCAGAGGTGCCCTGCTCCCCCTCCACGCGCCTCCCAGCAGAGCAGCCCAGCGACCTGGGGGGGCAGGACCCAGGCTGCACCCCTCCCCACGCACGGCTGCCGTCGTTGCTCTGGGTGCGGGGACGCTCCATCCACTCCACCCGCCACCGCCTATCCCTCCCGCCCCAGCGCGCCCCTGAGTTTGCTGTCCGGCTCCAGGTAGGTCCCCCGCAGCGTCACCACTTAGGTCTTTCCTGAGCCAACGCACGCACGGGACCTGGGGACCCCAGGAGGCTGACGCCCCAGGGCGCTTACCACCAAAGTGTTGTGCAGGAGTCTCCTCCTCTGCCTCTCCGCCTGGTAGCGCACCCCGGTCTCCTGCAGGGCCTGCTCGAGTCGGACCGCCTCGGACCGGCACGCTGAAAGGACAGTTTCACCCCGTTACGGCGAAAGTCACAGGAGCAGGGACCCATTATTGCCTCTGAGCACAGAAGACGTTAAACACACAGTGGAGCAGCGAGGCCGCTGTGGGTCTCGGTGAGCACACTCGGCCGCTGCAGGTGCCGCCCCGCGGCAGCTGACCACCCCTGGAGCCCGTGTGGAGACCTGGCTGCACAGCCCTGTGGGCTGAAAGGTACCCGGCAGGGGACACTGTCCAGTCACCTGCGTGGCAGCTCAGGGGGCTGCTCCCTAAGGTACCGGAGGTTTCCGCAGAGCTCCCTCGGGGCGGGGAGAGCTGGGCATGGGAGGAGACGCCGGGTGTGGCCTCTATTCTGCCCGTCGTCGGGGCAACCCCGGGCTCCCCCTCTGCATCTGTCACCCAGGAAGGCGGCCTCTTGCCCGGATGTGAGGCTGAGCGGAGCACAAGGGGCTGCGTGTGGTCCCGGCCCGGCCTGGACACCCGGACGCCCAGGTCTGCCCCCACCGTGGAGGCTGCGTGGCACGGGGGGTGAGGCCCAGTGCAGCGTCGGGCAGGTCCTGTCTTGGCTCTGGGATTCCTGGCAGAGCCACTCTAGCGCCCGGCGCGGCCGACACCGTGTGTGACGTAGCCAGGGATGTCTGCCCCGGCCCAGGGATGTCTGCCCCGGCCCAGGGATTTCCAGGAGACAAGGCCACCCCAGCACAGACGCAGCTGTCACCAAGCTTGAAACAAAGCTTATGCTTACGGGAATGACCAAACTCCTTTGTGAAAGAGACACCTGCTGACACCCAGACCGAGTGCAGGTGTGAGGGCGTGGAAGGACCCCAGACTCTGAGAATGGCCTCTGCACAGAGACCCTCCGGTCCATCATTCCTCTGACCCTGACTGTACTCGGCCCCCACCACCAGCCCACGCTCCCTCCCCCGTCAGAGCTGCGGAATGAGCCGCCTGCCAGTCAGGAGTCTGAGACTCCTCCTGAGACCGGCTGGGGCCAGGAACCAGCGTGCTCTTTGGTAACCGAGAGGAAAAGAAGCTCCCTGGTGGGGCGGCGGCGGGCGCCTACTGAACGTTACTGGGTCACACGGCACGCAGTCTCGCCTCTTGAATTAGGCGTCCGCTAAGTAAAAAGAAATGGGAACTCGGGTCCTAGGCAGTCATTTGTCTTAAAATGGCAGGCGTTTTCCGTGCCCGTGGCCTGGCTCGTGGGCAGCCACCTGGCCCGTACCCTGCAGAGCCGCCCGGTCCAGCTGTGTCCTCCCAACCGCGGCCACTATGGCGGAGACGCACGCCTCGCACTGGTCCTGATAGCTTCTCAGGAGTACCAGGGAGGAAGAGTGAAACTCCTTTAGATCCCGCTTCAGTCTCTGTAAAACAAGAAAGTGCACAGTCAATACAATTCACCGTGTTGTTAATTACTGTAGGATAATTACGTAGTTATTCATTAGGTGAGTTTCCATGGAGCGGTGACATGGCCACACGGTTACTATGATGGTGCATTCAGGCACCAGTGACTGCCTGGAGCAGACACCTGTCAGTTCCTCCTGACGACACACATCCAGGCTCACCCCCAGGAATTCTGACTCCGCACATCTGGGATTTGTACTTTAAAAAGCAGCAAATGTGACTTTATATACTTTATATCTTTAAAGTATTTAAGAAATAGAAAATCTGGGCGGGTGCGATGGCTCACACCTGTAATCCCAGCCCTCTGGGAGGCTGAGGCTGGAGGATCGTGTAAGGCCAGGAGTTCAAGACCAGACCCTATCCATACAAAAATTAAAAATATCAGCCGGGCGTGGTGGCGCATGCCTGTGGTCCCAGCTACTCGGGAGGCTGAGCAGGAAGATCCCTGCAGCCCAGGAGTCTGAGGCTGCTGTGAGCTATGATCACACCATTGCCTTTTAGCCCAGCTGGGCGACAGAGAAAGACCTTGCCTTAAAAAAAAAAGAGAAACAGAAAACAAGTATTTCACCAATTTCCGTGGGAAGCACAGCTCATTGCACGGTGGGAAAATGTCAGAGGCAGGACATTTTTCTGTCTCAGTTGTTTACTTCCTGGCAATGTTGGCACAGCCCTGGGGCTCCATGTCAGCCCTCATTAAATGGGGAGCAGCGAGTACCCTGATCGGTTGTCCAGACCACCGTCTGGAGGGTTAATCATGACGAGCACATGCAGGCCGGTGAGAGCCACTTGCCACGTAAATGCACATAGTAAAAGTACGGCAAATGTGAGTGTTTTTAGAGAGCTCTGGGAATAAGGCAGCTGATATCCTAGGCTTTGCTCTTGTTCCTTCTTCAAACTAGTGCAAGGATTTTCGGTATGAGGAGATGACAGGTCCCCAGAATGAACGAGCAGATGCACTACTACCTACTACTTAACATCAAACCTCCGCGATCATAAAGCGTAACCGAACATAAATAGATATTTTTTCTTTCTTTATTTAAGTCTTTTTTTTAAATCTATAAAACGGAGATTACTTCCATATGTTTGGGAAACATTTTAATAAAATATCAAAACTAAATTGAACTAAAGTCTTTTTATTATATGGAATATAGATAAAATTACATAGCTTATTGAAAGATGGATTAATTTTACTCAATCAAAAGAGAATTGAAAAAACTAACTCTACATAAACTCATTCTAAATGCCCAAAAGCAGTTTATGGGGGGAAAAAATCTCTGAATCTCAATGAGAGCAGATTAATCCTATTTACAGATGGTGTTTTCATTGTACTGTTGTAATAATGGTTTCTTTCTTCCTATTTTTGACCCTGGTCACATTGTTTAGAACAAAAGGTAAAAACAATGTCCTCCATCAAAGTTACAAAAATATCCTGCCACCACGTCACCTTGGAGGGCTGCCAAGTATGCTGCATGGAATAACAATCTCCCTAAACTGTGAACTGCTAGCACTGGTTTAAAAGGAGCTGCTCACATTTGACGACATGGTGCACTAGATCTATTCAACCTGACATGTATAAACCAGTTTTCTACCATTTAACATTAAAATAAAAAGGAGAACAGCTTTGAATTAAAAAATTAAACTGCTACCGTAGCTCACATTTGAAATGACTCATCTCACAGTCAAATGTATTTTTCCTTCTGATTTTTGCTTAGGGTCCCAATCTTACCAGCTGCTTTAAGGGTTAGTTTTCCATTTAATACGTCTGAGAACGCAGAGCTCCTAAGCGAACACTGTCTGCAACCGGCTACAAAAATACTTGTGATTTCATAATGTTTTATGACAAGACTAGATCAATCACCCATGACAGAAAACCCCACACGCAGCATTGATTGCTTCTGTTAATCCCAGAGATTGGATCTCTTCTGACTCAATTTACAGTTCCACCAGAAAAAGGCCACTGTGAGTTCTTGAGCACAGACACTGTGGCTACATGAACAAAGGTTCTGACCCCTGTCGAGACTCTACCTGAATCCCCGGGCGGAGCCGGTTTAGGGCCGAGCACCAACTGCTCTGCAGCTGCCGCCTGTCGCGGGCGAGAGATAGGGCGGCCTCGCTGCGACTCTCCCCGATCCTGTCCCGATACTGTTGCACGGAAAACAAAGAAAGGCAATTTAGGGTCTCAGACTCTGAAACGAAGCCACGCGTCGCGGAGGAGAGCCGTGCTGGCCGCCAGGGCGCCAACGGGCTTAAGGGAAGACGCTGCCCAGCGGGCGCAACCTGAACCGCCGCGGGGACCAGCACGCAAGCGACTCCAGGTGTGGGGGCGCTGTGGGGGTGGGAGGGGGACATGGGGTGCAGCAGGAACTCCCAGGGAGGCCCCCAGGGCCCAGCCACAGGGCGCAGCCAGGTGGGGAGGAGAGGGCAGGACGTCCAGAGGGGGGCTGCCGGGGCCTGGGGCCGTCGGGGGGCTGTCGGGGGCTGCCTGGGGGTATCCGGGGGGTTGCCTGAAACCGAGGGCTGTCGACTGTTGGGGGGCCTGTTGGGGCTGCCTAGGGGTATCTGGGGGGTTGCCTGAAACTGAGGGCTGTCAGCGGGTATTTGGGGGATTGCCTGAAACCGAGGGTTGTCAGGGGTCTGTTGGGGGCTATTGGGGACTGTTGGGGGCTGCCTGGGGCTGTCAGGGGCTGTCAGGGACCGCCTGGGGCTTTCGGGGGGATGTCCACGGGCTGCCTAGGGACTGTCAGGGACTGTCGGAGGGCTGTCGGGGGCTCCCTGGGGCTGTTGTGGGGTTGTCGGGGGGCTGTCAGGGAGCTGCTGGGGGCTGTCGGGGACTGTTGGGGGGCTGTCGGGGACTGTCGGGGCTGTCAGGGGCTCCCTGGGGCTGTCATGGAGCTGTCGGGGAGCTGCCAGGGAGCTGTCAGGGGCTGTCGGGGGCTCCCTGGGGATGTTGGGGGCTCCCTGGGGCTGTCAGGGGGCTGTCGGGAGCTGTTGGGGTCTCCCTGGGCTGTCGGGGGCTGTTGGTGGCTCCCTGGGGCTGTTGGGGGGCTGCCTGGGGACTGTCATGGACTGTCGGGGGGCTGTCAGGGGCTCCCTGGGGCTGTTGTGGGGTTGTCGGGGGACTGTCGGGGACTGTTGGGGACTGTTGAGGGGCTGTCGGGGTCTCCCTGGGCTGTCAGGGGCTGTTGGAGGCTCCCTGGGGCTGTTGGGGGGCTACCTGGGGCTGTCAGGGGGCTGTTGAGGGCTGTCGAGGGCTGTCGGGGGGGCTGTTGGGGGGCCTTCAGGGGTTCCCTGGGGCTGTCGGGGGGCTGTCGGGGGCCATCTGCACAGACAGCCAAGGCCAAGGCTGTGAGTGACAGGCCCCAGAATGGAAGGGACAGAGGAACAGCAAGTGCAAAGAGGAAAGGCGCAGAGGCTCTGGGGCCTGTCAGCAGAGGTGACTACCTGGGTACTTTCTTAAGGAGAACGCCCAGCCAGGGAGGGGTTTTGGCAGCAGGATGTGTTGAAGGGTCCTGTGTTTTCGAAAGGTCACTGTGGGTGTTTGGCAGCGAGGGGGGCTGCAGGGGAAGACTGCATGGAGAGCAGGGGCCACAGGACAGTGTGGACAGAGGAGTGACCGGCCGAGGCAGGCGCAGGATCCGCCTGGCGGGTGCAGGCGGGCAGCCCGGTGGAGGGTGGGGCGGGGGCTGCCCCTGGACAGGAGCTGCTGGGAGCATCTGTCGCTAGGAGCAAGAGCGGTTGGAGCTTTGCTGTGTCCCGGCGCACTGGACGGGGGTCGTGCTCTCACACTGCATGTTCACAGGCGATGAACGCTGCAAACGCTCCTCGTCAGAACAGCAGCGGTGAAGACACACAGGTAATCTCACAATGACGTGTACCAAGATTTACCACCTCCATAGTAAGCTGAAGGTACCGTGCATCCAAACATTAAGACGCGCAGCTCAGAAGCCACACAAAATAGGACATTTATGCTGCATTCGAGCGCAGACACTCCTTATTTTCCAGGAAGGGCACAAGAGAGAAGGGAACGGCGGCTGAGGCTCGGTACCGGCTGGGGTGAGCTGGGGTCCCACGCCGGCAGCAGCCGGAGCCCGGCCAGGGAGTCGCGGCACCAAGACAGGACTTGCCCTGGTGGGAGCGGAATGTACAGGACATGACAGAGATACGCAGCTGGCGGGGGGCCCCGAGCCAGGCCAGAAAACCTTCTCATTCCTGATATGGGAAACTTTTGGAAGCACAAGGAAGTTCAGTAGGAAAACGCAGAAAAGCCCCACGCGGGGCTGGACCACGGAGCGCACGCCGCTCGTCCAGGCTCTGCCTGAGATGTGGCAGGTGCGGAAGCCCCGTGGTTGCGGGCTGCGGGCAAACTAGGGGCAGGGAGCATGGGGAGACTCCTGCTGCTCTTGTCTGACTAAAGAAGAAACCGGAGCAAAATTAACCCCTAAACTCATAAAGCTAAGATTCTCCATGGGGGAGGAAGGAATAATATACGCGTGGCTTGCAAGCGGACGCGGCCGGAGGGCCGGGCCTCGGGGAGGGGCCGGGAATGCGTCTGCTTTGCGGGGACCGAAAGACACTGCTGGGACTCAGGGTGCAAATGTGGAAATCTCAGAACCGGCTTCCACACAAGCCCTGCACGGGATCCGGTTCCACTAGACCTGCAAGGCGGTTGGAGCGTGCTACCTCGGCCAGCCTCAGGTGAAGGACAGCGTTTTGCATCTCCAGTTCAACGATCCTCTCTTCTTTGACCTACGGCCAAGGGTGCAAAAAGGAAAACGATCAGCAGGGCACTTGCTCGCCATCCTGAAGCCACAGGAATTACGCCGACCCGTCACGCCCACCCTCCGAACACGGAGCACACGAAGACAAAGCACAGCCACTCCGGAGAGAGCCGCGGTCATGTGCCACAGCATCGCCACGCACACGCCAGCGGCCCCGTGGGATCGCACCACTTTGCACCTTTTCCGTGTGACGGCACAGGAAGCAGTGGCTGTGCCACATTGAGGAGCAGGGGGACAGGCCGCCGGTGACCCCGACAGCCTTGCTCCCTCCCGCCACCCACGCTGGAGTGAGGACCCCGCCCTCTTCCCCGTGCGGCCCCAAGGCCAGCAGCTGTGGGCCCTGGGGGGTCACTAGAAATGCTGGACCTTGGACCCGCCCACCCTCTCGCCCGGAGAGAGGCCTGCTGGGAGCGGTGGGGCCGTCGGGGCAGCCGGGACACCGGGCAGAGCCCTGGGGTGGGGCTGAGCCCGGCAAGTCCAGGGACAGGAGGGGACGTCCACCAGGCCGGGACAAGCAGGTGCGGAGGCTGAGGGCCAGGAGGCCGGAGCGTGGCCTGGGGTGTTAGTAAGCCAGGAAAGAGCATGCGTTTGACCCCCGTCTACAGGGGCATTGCAGGTTCTAACAGAGGAGTTCGATGTTAGCTATTCGTGGTAAATGCCGAGAGAGCCGGCAACTGGGGAACCTGGGGAAGGGGACCACCAGCTTTTAGGAAGGTGGGTTGAGGTGCAGTCCCTCCATCTGGGGGTGCAGTCCCTCCATCTGGGGGTGCAGTCCCTCCATCTAGGGGTGTAGTCCTTCCTTCTGGGGGTGCAGTCCCTCCTGCTGGGGTGCAGTCCCTCCATCTGGGGGTTCAGTCCTTCCTTCTGGGGGTGCAGTCCCTCCTGCTGGGGTGCAGTCCCTCCATCTGGGGGTTCGGTCCTTCCTTCTGGGGGTGCAGTCCCTCCATCTGGGGTTGCAGTCCTTCCTTCTGGGGGTGCAGTCCCTCCTGGGGGTGCAGTCCCTCCATCTGGGGGTTCAGTCCTTCCTTCTGGGGGTGCAGTCCCTCCTGGGGGTGCAGTCCCTCCATCTGGGGGTTCAGTCCTTCCTTCTGGGGGTGCAGTCCCTCCATCTGGGGTTGCAGTCCTTCCTTCTGGGGGTGCAGTCCCTCCTTCTGGGGGTGCAGTCCCTCCTTCTGGGGGTTCAGTCCCTCCTGCTAGGGGTTCAGTCCCTCCTTCTGGGGGTGCAGTCCCTCCTCCTGGGGGTTCAGTCCCTCCTGCTAGGGGTTCAGTCCCTCCTTCTGGGGGTGCAGTCCCTCCTCCTGGGGGTTCAGTCCCTCCTGCTAGGGGTTTAGTCCCTCCTTCTGGGGGTGCAGTCCCTCCTTCTGGGGTGCAGTCCCTCCTTCTGGGGTGCAGTCCCTCCTTCTGGGGGTGCAGTCCCTCCTGCTAGGGGTTCAGTCCCTCCTTCTGGGGGTGCAGTCCCTCCTGCTGGGGTGCAGTCCCTCCTTCTGGGGGTGCAGTCCCTCCTGCTAGGGGTTCAGTCCCTCCTTCTGGGGGTGCAGTCCCTCCTGCTAGGGGTTCAATCCCTCCTTCTGGGGGTGCAGTCCCTCCTGCTGGGGGTTCAGTCCCTCCTTCTGGGGGTGCAGTCCCTCCTGCTGGGGTGCAGTCCCTCCTGCCGGAGATTCCTCCTCTCCCAAGCCTGTTGACAGCTCACAAAGAAGCTGTGGTCATTGCAGGACAACCCTGCCTGTGTTTCCAAACTCTCTGCGACTGGTTATACTAACCTGAAGCCCGGGAGTCGTCTATACTGTCCACTGCTCTGCCCTGCGATTTGTGCCTCTTGCAAAACAATCTCTGCCACGCCCCCACTCCAGCCTGCTTAGCCCCCACCCCACCGTCTCCTATATGGGCAACGGCAGCAGCTGATGCCTGCCTCCAACCACTCTTCTTGTTGCTTGAATGAATTGCAAATATTTTCTATAGCGTTACTGAGAAACAATTCACATACCACACGATTCATTCATTTAAAGTGCACGATTCAGTGACTTTTAGTATATTCAAAGTTGTACAGCCATCACCAAAATTAATTTTAGAATATTTCCATCTCCCCCAAAAGAAACTCCCAGACATCAATCACCTCTAGGTCTTCCCTGCCCCCAGCCCGAGGACACTGATAATCTGCTTCCTGGGTCTCCACTGTCGCCAGCTCTGGGCGTGTACATAAATGGAATCACGCAGGCAGTTTGCGACCCTTTGGGTCCTGCTTCTTTCGGTCTCTGTAACGTTTTCGGGGCTCAACCATGCGTAGCAATGTCAGAATTCTATGCCTTTTTATTGCCAGATAATATTCCATTGTACGGACATACAAAAATCTTATTTCTCCATTCATCAACCGGAGGACCTTGGGGTTGTTTCTTCTTTTTGGCTATTATGAGTAGTGCTACTATGGCACTCCTTTAAACGTGTTTGTGGGAAATGTTTTCCTTTTCTTGGTATATACCGTGTTTCCCCCCAAATAAGACAGGGTCTTATATGTATTTTTCCTCAAGAAGACACCCTAGGGCTTATTTTCAGGGGATGTGTGATTTCCCCCTCAAAGCCTCAGCTTGCAGCACGCACAGGATGGCGGGGACCCGACAGGGGGAGCCGACCTTGTTGGTGGGGCTGCCCGCACCTTTCCGGTCACCTCTGGGACAGCAGCTGTCACGACGGGGCAGATGAGCAGGGCTGCTCGTCTTCTTTCCCGCTCCTCGACGACATGCACGGGTTGTGCAGATGCGCTGCGTAGCCACGCCCGTCACTAGGGCTTATTTTCGGGGTGGGGCTTCTATTGCGCACATGCTTAGAAATCCTGCTGGGGCTTATTTTGTGGATAGGTCTTATTTTCGGGGAAACACAGTACTTAGCATTTTGGGAAACGGTCACACTGTTTTCCAAACCATCTGCATTATTTACACTCCCGCCAGCGGCGTGCGAGGATTCCAGTCTCCCGCCCCCTGGCCCACACGCATCCCTCCGTCTTCCTGACGACAGGCATCTTCCTGGCGTGACGTGGCCTCCGCCGTGGTTTTCTTACCTGTCCCTGATGGCTAATGAGTCTCACACTGCTTTGGGTGAATGTATTCCAAAGTATTTCGATATTTTTGATGCTATCGTAAATGGAATTGTTTTCTTAATTTCATGTTCTGTTGTTCATTGCTACAGAATAGAAACACCATTGATTGTATATAAATCTTTGTAACCTTGCACCTTGCTCAACTCGGTTATTAGCACTAATAGTTTTTTCTTTCTTTCTTGTTTTAGTGAATTCCTTAGTATTTTTTTAACTATCAGATCATGATGCCTTTTCCTTTACTTTTTTTTTCCTTTCTGATATAGATGGCTTTTTCCATTTTTTCCACAGTTATTTATTTAGCCTAATTGCCCTGACTAGCACCTCCAGGACAATGTTGAATAGAACATATAGAAATAGACCAGTTATCTTTTTCCTGACTCTGGAGGAAAAGGCATTTGGTCTTTCACCATAAAGTGTGATGTTAGCGGTGGGGTTTTCATAGATGCCTTTTAATCAGGATGAATAATTTCCCTTCTATTCTTATTTAATCGAGTGTTTTTATTATGGAGGGTGTTAAATTTTGTCCAGTGCTCTTTCCGGGCCTACTCAGATAATCCTGAGGGTTCTGCCCTTTATTCTACTGGTGTGGTCCATTACACTGGCTGATTTTTGCATGCGAATCCTGCAGGGGAAAACCCCACTTGGCCATGGTGTGGGGATTTTATGTATTGCTGCAACCCTTTTTGCGTATTGCTGCATTCAGTTTATTAGTACTTTGTTGAAGGTGTTTGCATTTATATTCACAAGAGATTGCACTATAGTTTGCTTTTCTTGTGATATCTTTCTGTGGTTTTGGTATCAGCATAATACTGGTCTCATGGAACAGGAGTTTTCTCTCCTATTTTTTGGAAGAGTTTGTGAAGGACTGGTGCCAACTGTTTAAATGTTCGGCAGAATTCAGTGAAGCCATCCGGGCCGGGGTTTTTCTTTGCGAGAGGTTTTTGACCACTTAGTTCATCTCTTTACGTGTTACAGTTCCATTCAGATTTTCAGTTTCTTCTTGAGCCAGTTTTGGCATTCTGTGTCTTTATAGGAATTTGATCGTTTCATCTAGAATATCTAATTCGTTGGCAACGTTCATAGTATTTTCTTACAGCCTTTTTTTTTTTTTATTTCTGTAAGGTAATGTTTCCTTTTGTATTCTTGATTTTAGTGATTTGAATCTTCTCTCTTTTTAGTTAGTAAAACTCAAGTTTGTCAAATTTTTTGATATTTCCAAAGAGCCACTTTTGGGGTTTTTAATTTTCTCTATAGTTTTTCTACTCTCTAATGCAGTGGTCCCCAGCCTTTTCGGCACCAGGGACCAGTGTCATGGAAGACAATTTTTCCACGGACTGGGGCGGGGGCGGGTGGAGCTGGGTGGAGCTCCGGCGGTGACTCGAGTGATGGGGAGTGGCTGTAAATACAGATGAAGCCTGGCTAGCACCTCCTGCTATGCGCCCCCCACCCGCCCCCATCCCTAAGTTTCATAGAGGACACGTTTTCCAAGGACCTGGGGGTTCGGCAGAGCTCTGCTGCCTGGTCCCTAACAGGCCACGGACTGGCACTGGTCCTCGGCCCCAGGGTTGGGGACTGAGGCTTTAGTTCATTTTTTTCTGCTCTAATCTTTTTTCTTTGCTCCTTTCTACTTGCTCGGGGTCCAGTTTGCTCTGATTTATCCGGGGTCTTCAGGGTGTTGATGTGAGATCCATCTTCTTTTCTAATACAGGTTTCACAGCTGCAAATGGCCCTCTAAGGCTTTGGCTGCATCCCACAGGATTTCGTATTGCGATACCTTCGTTTTCATTCATCTCAAGGTACTTCCTGATTTCCCCTGTGATTTCTTCTTTGACACAATAGTTATTCAGGGGTGTCTTGTTTAATTTCCGCATTTTTGTGAGCTTCCCAAATTTCTTTTTGTTATCCATTTCTGATTTTACTCTCTGGTGTTTAGTGAACATACTTTATATGATTTCTATGTCCTCAGGCTTGTTTCATGGCCCCGCGTGTTGTCCACCCTGGAGAGCGTTCAGCGTGCTCTGGAGCAGTATGGACTCTTGTTGGGCAGAGTGTGCTATAGGTTTGTTAGGGTTAGTCGGGTTACAGTGTCACCCAGTTCTGCTGTTCCCTTGCTGCTCCTCTACCTAGTTGGTCTGTCCACTACTGAAAGTGAAGTGCTGAAGTCTGCAACCGTTGGTTTTGAATTGCCTTTTTCTCCCTTCTATTCAGTCTGTTTTTGCGTCACTGATTTTAGAGCCCTGTTGTTAGGTACATGCATATTCATAATTTCCATATCTTCCCGATGGACTGACTCTGTTATCATTAGAAAGCATCATTCATTTTCTCTAGTAACATTTTTTGTCTTAACATTTTCTAGGTTTGGTATTAATATTAGCATAGTCACCCAGTTTTCTCGGGGTTGATAGTGAAACGACATTATCTTTTGCCATCTTTTTACTTCCAACATATCTGTGCCTTTTAATCTAAAGTGTGTCTCCTGCAGGTAGCGTATACTTGGATCTTGCTTTTCATTCAACCCAGCAATCTCTGCCTTTTGACTGGGGTGTTTAATCCATTCACATTTGGTCACCTCTCCTCCCCGCCATTCGTATGTTGGAGTCCTAACTCCGGAACCTCAGCATGCAGCTACTCTCGAAGGCAGGGCCTTTAAATGGGTGAGTGAGTTAAAAACAAGGCCACCAGGGTGGGTCCTGCTCCAGTCTGACTGGTGTCCCTGTAAGACACAGGAGAAATTTGGGCGGGGAGACGCCAGGCCGAGGAAAGGCCGTGTGAGGACACAGCCACGGAGGGAGGCCTCAGAAACCAGACCCGCCAGAGCCCGGATGGCAGGCCTGCAGCCTCTCCAGACTGGCGCGGGACATCTCTGCGGAGCTTTGTTACAGTGGCCTTCACGGACTAATTCCTTGTCTTAATTAACAGAAACAATTGTTTCTGAGAGTGCCGTTGGGCTTGAACTTCCCCACACTGTGTTTCGGATGAAGTCAGTTCCTTCGGGGAGAGCTTCAGAGCTCTGTTCTCAGGAGCGGCCTCTTTTCCTGGGAACCAGCGCTGCTGGGGGTCTGGGGAGGGCGGCTGCCTTGTCCTTCCAGCTCGCCCCTCTGCGCCAGGAGCCCGCGTCCCACAGGTGAGCCGGGGAAGCAGCCGGACTGCAGACCCTGGGCCTGCTGTTCTCGGGGCAGAACCTCCATCCTAGGAGTGGACACCGGTGGGGGAGACCCGAAATCCCGACGCACTCGGCCTCCTCCCCTCAGTGTTTGTGGGGGAGCCTCTCCCACCTGGTGGGGGAGGGGGCAGGGGACGGGGCGTCTCCTGGGCACACCCGCCCAGAGTGCAGCTTCTGCCCAGCTGAGCTGGGAGGGGAGGGGGAGCCACTGTTCTTAAGAGAGTTTTGGTAGATTTTCCTGAACAAATGTTTCTTCATTTGATCTATGCTCTTAGGACAGTTTCCTAAGGCTTTAAACGGTTGTTTTTATCCTTTGCACCAGTTCTGCTGCTTGGCTTGGAGCAGGCCCCCCGAGGTCCTCCTCCGGCCCCCTGGGAGTCCCCCATGCAACACCTTCTAGCCATGGCCATCTCGCCAGGGAACCGCTGCAAAGTGGATTTTCAAAACATGGATTTAATCAAGTCTCCCCTTTCTCCTTAAAATCTCTCCAGCAGTGTCTCCTCGTTCTCAAAATAAAGAAAAGACCCTGACAGTCCTGCTGGGCCCTGTGGCCTGACTCCTGGGCTGCTCCCCTCCTTACAGCTTCTCTCGACCTCCCCGCCGGCCACGCAATCTCTGCGCCAGGGCTCTTCCCGCACCCGCACCCACTGCGGGGAGCCACTTGTCATCGGGACTCAGCTGGGGCATCCAGACACATCAGGACACAGGGCGGCTCGGCCTGGCCAGAGGGCTGGATTATAAACACATACCAGACCAGGTGCCTCCCTGCTGCGGCACTTACCCGTCACGTTGTCACAGTTTGCACACTGTCACATGTACCTTGTGATGGCTTTATTCAACTGTACCCTCCAACAGGGCGCGACCACGGGACTTCATGCCCTGCTGCTCAGCCACTGAACGGCCAGCACTTGCAGGCACACGGGACATTCACCATTCACAGAGGGACAGGGCTGGGGGCCGGGGCAGGAGGCCCCAGAGCGAAGGGGTCGGGGGACCAGGGACGGGGGAAGGACAGAGGGGAGAAGGGGATTGGGGGCGTGGGAGGGAAAGGCAGAGGGGAGGATGAGGCAGGCCAGAGAGGCGGGTAGGACAGAGGGCACCCGATGGGAGGTGGGGAAGGAGGACCGAGGGGAAGACTGAGCAGCCCCCTGGGGGTGGGAGGTCGGATGGGGGAGGACAGAGGACAGAAGGAGACAAGGCTGGCTCTCGGGGAGCGGCAGAGGGGGACAGGCTAGGCCCACCACCACGGGTCCCAGAAGCCTAGATGGCGCATCGGTTCGGGCCTCTGCCCCAAAGCGGGCGGGGTGCTGTTTACAACTCAGTGACCCTGACACCCACCCGAATTCTCCCATGCCCCCCAGGCGCTGCGGTCGCCAGCCCTCCGCCCTCCCTCTCCCAGACTCACCTGCACCAGTCTCTGCAGCTGCCTGGCCCGCTGCTCCCAGAAGCCGCCCCACTGACGGCCCCCCGCCGGCATCGCCCCAGACACCGCCGCTTTAGGGTCCTCGGCTCACCGCCCCTCCCCCGCACCAGCAGTTGGCCCCCAGGGAGGGGGCGCGGGGAGGGGCGGGGGAGGGGATGGGGGAGGAGCGCGAGGCACAGTGGGAACTCTACCAGGAGATGCCCGGAAGACTTCTGGACCCGGGGTGGAGGGTGGGGGGTGGAGGGTGGTCCCAGGGACTCTCCCTGCTGGGAGCACTGAACCAGCTCCTTAAGGGGGAAGAGACGGGGGCAGGGACCGGGAGGAGGACAGCAACAGGTGTGGGGGCGCGGCCCTGCCCACCTGGAACCCTGTGGGGGTACTCACGCTCCCCTCCATCCAACCATCCCCCGGAGCACCTGTCTTGCCGGCCGTCCCACCCTGCCCCTTGGACTGCGGCCACCCGGACTGCAGGCACCTGCCACGCGGTGGCCACAGCTCCACGGCAGCCCTGTCCCGGGCGGGGAGGTGTTGGCGCGGGAAGGGGCAGCCAGTGCCTGCGGAGGAAGGGGAGGAACGGGAACCACAGGAGGGCGGGCGGTGCAGTCCAGCGGAGTCCTCCCCTCCCAGGGCACGGCCACCAGGGGAGACGCTGGTGGCCACACAGAGGGGGTTACCGGGTTGCAGAGGCTCACCATGGGCTGGCATGCGTGTGTGGGAGGCAAGGGCATCCCTTCCGCCCTCTGGGGGCGCTAAGGCCCCTGAGGACCAGGGTGGGGCCCGCCCGGTGAGAAGGGGCGGGCACACCCGAGATGCTCACACGCGTGACGGGCACACCCGAGATGCTCACACGCGTGACAGGCACACTCGTGGAGGCAGCTGCGGGACAGGCACCCAGGCCTCCCCGGCGCCTCCTGGGTGGTCCGTGGCAGGCGGTGCCGGCAAGCTGCAGCCGGGTGCTCCTGGGAGAGGACGGACCCAGGAGGCCTGCAGCCCGCCCCCACGCGTGTGAGGCAGGCACTGTCCGCGTCAAGACCACAGAGCAGACACAGCGGCCAGGCCCTGCCCACAGCGGGGCCTGTGCGGGAGTTGGAGACGGGGGAGGGAAAAGTGAATAGAGCAGAGGCCCGGCTGGAGCCTCTGCATCAGCAGATGCGAGTCATGAGCTATGAAGTGCAGGATATCTTGCGCACTCAAGGTCCAAAACTAAAAAGAAAAAAAAAATGCTTTTCCCTGTGGCTAGGATGACCAGGGCCGGGGAGGGTGGCAGGAGACTGACCTAGTTTATAAGGCTTCTGCACCATCGACGTTTTAAAACTACATGCATGCATTTCTTAGATGAAACGACAGAAAACAAAAAAAGCACAAATTTGCCATTTAGAACTTGGCAAACATTTTTGCAAAATGCAAAAGCAAACCTTATTTTTCTAGAAAAAAAAATTGATGGCTGGTAAGATTAGAAATAAAATTTGACCTACTATCAGAGTGTCTGGGTATCTCTCCAAGTTTACAACGGACTCGGACTGGGTTTTTCACACTGGGGTCTACATACCCCCGAGGACCAGCCTGCTATCTACTGAAATTCTGAAAGGTCTAGAAAACGAACTGGGCGTCGTTCGTTCAGCCCACAGCGCTCACACACCGGCTGCTCGCACACAGGGCTCGGGAGATCCCGGCGCGGCCCGGCCCCCCGCGGAGCGCACAGAGCAGCCAACCGAGGCTGCCCGCGGTCTGCGCACACTCGCCCACGCCCCAGGCCGGGCCAGGCCAGCGCAGCCTGGCTTGCACTTCATGCACCGCCACCAGGACCATTCCGCAGTCACCGCCACCCCTGGCTTCCTCCTCCTCACACGCCATCCTGCCAGACGGGGCCACTTGGCTGCTTCTCCAGCGGACACCCGAGGGACACCTGCAGACATGTCACAGGTGTCCAGGACAGCAGGTGTCACACCACCGGATGGCCGATGGACGGTGCAGCCGTGTAGTCGGCCCTGTGGCCTACTGACCCGGCCCCCCACGCAGGGCCCGCTCCCCACAGCAGCGCACTCTTGCCCACCGCACCTTGTCAGCGGCAGCAGCAGGCTCCTCTGTCCCACGCAGGGCAGCGTGACGCTTGCCTGGAGCCTTGAAAGGCGGTTTTCCCCTTAGGACAGATTCCCACGCCAGTAGGAGGGGTCACTGCCAGGGGGTGGAGAGGTGGTTCTGGATGATGCGTGGATTTTGATAGAGCAATATGCCCAGAATAATCGCATTCCTCCCCAGAGAGAAAGCATGCAATTCCATCACCTTCTAAAGTATAGTGATGCTTTCAAGCTACCGTCTCCAAAGGAGCAACTAAGCCAAAAGTCTGCATTAGTTTCTGGTAGGTGAACTGCAATAGTTTTCCATATGTAAGAACCACAAACAGCGATGCCAGAAGCTGAGTGGCTTCTCAGTACACACTCCCTACTCTGTAGCTGTTTGCAAACGCGCCTTCCCCAACTAGAGACAGCTCAGTGACAGAGGGGACGTCAGGCAGTGGGGACAGGAGCCCAGGGCTGGGGCTGTGGTGCACCTTCTCTCCACTTGGGTTGTGGCCTCACAGTACTTGTCACAGACCAGCCAACGATCAATCAGTGAGTGTAACTGGAACCTCTTGGCCTCAGTTTCCCCATTTGTGCGAAAGAGAACACTCCCTGCCCTGTGCAACGCCCAAGCTGGCTCCAGATGAAGGAACAATAATGTAAAAAGCCCCTGGACGCTTGGTCACTAGCAGTTAACACCAGTGGTAGGCACTGTCAAAGGTGACCTCCCGTATTTTAATGCTCGTGGCTCCCACCGGTCACTAACAGTCCCACACTCGTGCTCACCGGGACCCGGGCTGCCCGGCAGTCGAGAGGGACGCGACTGAGAGGACAACACTGGATTTTAAAGGCTCCCTATGAAAAAGAACGTAGACTATCTCATGAACACACTTTTATACTGATCGCATGTTGGAATGATACTGTTTAGGATATATTAGGCGAAATAGAATGCATTAAAATTTGTTTCACCTGAGCTTCCTTTTACTGTGCTCATGTGGTTCACCAGAAGACGGAGCGTTTGAAAAGTGGCTGGCGTTGTATTTCGATGGACAGAGCTGCCCCGGACCACCGCCTCTGTCGTGAGGGCGTGGAAACAAGCTCGCGGAGACGCAGTGCTAGCGGGTCGGGGAGGACGGAGGTCTCCTGGCCCCGTTCCGGCATGTTTCCAGGGCGCCATGTCCTTACCACTTACTTATGCAGCAGATGTTGACTCAGCATGTAGCGTCTGCCAGGAAAACAGCGATGAGGAGAAGTGTCAGCTGTTCAGAGCTCGCAGTTCAGCAGTGGTGACAAGCAGTGACATTCGATGTCATCGCTGTTGACTGGCAGCGCGACGCCCCCTTTCCTCCTGGCACCAGCGCAAGGGCTCCTTCCTTGAGGATCTTGAGCTCCCCCAGGCCCTTCTCTACCAGGCCTCACGTCTGCGTTGGCCAGCTGCAGCAAGACCCCTGCCCGCCCAGTCAGGTTAGCGCGAGCCCCCACCCCCACGCTGGACATCGGGTCAGGCTCCTCATCCTCCATGGGGTCACTCGGCCTGCCTTCAGCAAGAGTCCTGGAAGGTCAGTTTAGCCACAACCCCCCCCCCCCAGTCTCTACCTTGTTCCTTGGCTACAAATTCCCATCTGTCAGCCAGACTCGGTGGCTCACGCCTGGAGTCCCAGCACTCTGGGAGGCCCAGGCAGGACTCTGTCTCTACTAAAAATAGAACAATTAGCCAGGTGTGGTGGTGGCACCTGTAGTCCCAGCTACTCGGGAGGCTGAGGCAGGAGGCTCCCTTGAGCCCAGGAGTTTGAGGTTGCTGTGAGCTACGATGACGCCACTGCACTCTAACCTGGGTGACAGAGTGAGACTCTGTCTCAAAAAAAAAAAAAAAAATTCCATTTGTCCTTGCTGTGTGCAAAGTTGGGCCCAGCTCCACACTGAAGTCTCTTTCCCCCATGACAAAGCTCCTGAAAAAAATGTTTACACTGCTTGCACGACCACCAGGCTCTGGGCATTCCAACTGAAGCCCTGCTGAGTTACAAATGTGCTTCTGCTCTGGACACCCAGAGCCCTGAGTATGTGCCTGTGAGTCAGCCCCACAGTCACCGAGTGAAGGATATTCAGGACCACCCCGCCCAGTGCCACAGAACTCCTCTTAGAACCTAAAGCTGAGCAACTTCCTCCCTGAAGGCACCCATGTCACTCCTGTTCCGATGACACGGAGCTGGTCACGGGCCAGGACGCCAGGAGCCCCAGTTTCCTCCCATTGGAGTCTGCCATTTGCACTCCTCCTTCATCCTGAGTTCCTACTTTTGTTCGTATTTCAACAATTCCTTTTCTTGGCATAGGAGATAAGAATTCTTTCTGAGTGTGATCTGATGGAACTATGTATGTATGTAAGGCAGCACCACCCTTCTTGGAGCTATCCCTTTATTAAACTGAAGACCAATTAAAAGGCCTGAAACAATGAGCAATAAGCCTCACACATTACAGGAAGGGAAAGAGCTTCAGTGAAGAAGTCACACTCTCGGTCCACAAAGAGGTGGAGGACTCTGGACAGGTTCTGTATCTACGTAATTTTCAAGTATTTAGGTGTTGACAGTAATAGAAATCAGGACAAATCAAAGGCCCAGCACTACCTAGCTAAGCTCCCTTCCCCCCCTTTTTAATTTTTTTGATACAGGGTCTCACTCTGTGGCCCAGGCTGAAGTATAATGTCACAATCACAGCTCACTGCATTCCTGAACTCCTGAGCTCAAGGGATCCTCCTGCCTCAGCCTCCCAAGTAGTTGGAACAGGTGCGCACCACCATGCCTGGCTGATTTTGATTTTTTGTAGAGATAGAATCTTGCTATGTTGCTCAGGTTAGTCTCAAACTTCTGACCTCAAGTGATCCTCCAGCCTGGGCCTCCCACAGTGTTGCATTACAGGTGTGAGCCACCATGCCTGGCCCACCTTTTTTGGATATGCTGTTTAGAGCATGTTACATATTTTGTTCAACTCAGGCTGTTTTTATATTTCTGGGGCTGTTCTCATGAAAAAAAAAAAAAAAAACCCGGGAGAGGCAGGCGGGACATTTTTAAATGCGACTGCCACACTAAGAAAAAATATGTTTTCCTTGGGGCCATGGTGTTTTATTACAAAAATAGAGTAAAAACTTTGAAAACAAAACAATCCTAATTTAATGAAACATTTGTTATTTTTTATTGTTTTCTGTGTGAGTTACATGCAACTTGAAAAATAGTTCTCACGGCTCCCAAGAGGAAGAGATGTGTGAATTACATATGCTTCATGAGGCCTTGGGCTCAAAACTAGCGTGAGTTAAATACAACTCACATGGCTGTTAATGAGTTAAACTGTACTATTAACCTGGTGTTTCCCAGGTCTCTTTACTTTGGGGAGAAGGATTAGATTATGTAATGTTTTATATCTTTAAAAATTCCAAGTTGAAGCTGGAATCACTGTCCCCAATTTAACACCATTTATTTGGGCCTATAATCTCTATAAAAGAATAAAACACACGCCTTAGAAGAGCAGAAAACAGTAAGATCTAATCCACTGAAGTGACACGTGAGTGTGCTGTTCTCAACCTGAAAGCCACGGTTACTGGTTCTTGTTTGAAGGGAAGGCAGAGTTTCCACTGACATCTTTCCTAATCTGCCCCCGGGCACCTCTGTAACAAACCGTGCCGACAACGCCAGGCCCCACTGCACGCTCCCGTCTGGGTGACACCCCTCTGGCCACTCAACAGCGGGCCTGCCCACCCGACTCCTGCACAAGCCTCCTCGTGGCTGGCCTCCCCTTCCAGCAAGCGGAGTCACCCTCCTAAGCAAGCAGGGGGCCCCACACGCTTTTTCAAAACCAGGCGAGGGCTTCCCGCTGCATGAAGAATATAAACCAAACTTCTCCCCAACGCCTTAGAAAGTCCGCTGCTTTGCCACCTGGTAGGTCCAGCCCCACGGCCCGCGCTTCCCCTGCCTGGGCTCTGACTTCTTTTCCAAAAGAGAGAATCATTTTCTCAAAAAAGTCTACCCTCCCCACGGTAATTTTAAATGGGTCTGTCTACCCTCAAAGTGCCCCATACACCTCCCCGTACACACAATTAAGTTACTATGTATTTATAAAGTATGTGCTTGTCCTCCTAGAGCTATGCATTGCGAGGGCAGAGACAAGCTGCTTGGGATACCAGGTGACCAACTGTGAGACCGGTCACCTGATGACACAGACCAGGCACCCATAAATATTTACTGGACAAATCACACAAGAAATTGGCTTCTATATCCCAATCTGACATCAAATACAGTTAATATATCCTTTGGGGTTATCTAACTTCTTTGAATAAACTGGATGAAATACTGGAATAAAAAAAAACTGTCACTTTTTGCATATAATTTTTCTTTCTGAAAGTTATTGCTCTTAAATCTTGTATAATGTTACTAAATCTAACTAAATCTTTGAAATCAGCTTCCCATTCAATGAAACATAAAGGGAATTTTGTCCAATGGTACGGACCAGAAAATAATCAAGAACGTTGCTGGTCCGTATGACAGAAGACCACTGACCTCACTGCAGATCAGAATCACTGTTTCCATTAATAGTGACAGAAGCACAGGCCTTGAGATGAAAACTGAGTCCACAAGTTTTTATCTTCCCAAACTTTAAAGTAACTTTTTAGGCATCAAAATATAGGAAAAGCAAACACTGTAGTTCCAACATGTAAACATGCCGTCCTACCCATGTATACACAAGTCTCTACCATCCCAAGGCACTCCTTCCTCTGTGAAAGTCCTTCTGAGCTTACTTTTACACACACTGTTAATTACAGTCACTCCGATATGCAAGGATCTCAAAGCTCACTGCTCCCGTCTTTCTGCACTGTGCCTCCTCCGGCCTGCCCGCGCCTGCCCTCCGGCTCCCGGGCCGCAGGGGAAGCACACGGGAACAGGCCGGGCGGGGAGAGCACGCCTCAGAGGCCCCGGGGGAGGCCCGAGCTCCCGAGTCCTGACCATTGCCGTGTCGCCGTAAGACAAACACACTCTTCACAAGAGCCGCTCTTGGGGGTGCCTGCATCCACACACGTCTCACCAGGACACCGTACTTACACAGTCTGCTTACTGCTGGGGACAGCTGGGAATTTCGAAGCGGCCATCAAGGGGTGGTATGACCGGGAAACGGTCCACGTGACCACCTGGCATTGCTGCACGCAACGCCGAAGGCACGAAGGCCCAGGCGGCGGAACCTGCACACGAGCCACTGTGAAAGCTACCAGCCGGCTACCCACGCACGGCCCCGAGAAAAAACACTGTCGACACGGAAATGATACTCAGGACATGTTTAATGAATGAGTGAACAGACGGAAAAAAGACAGGGGAGAAGAAGGCTGATGTTACAAATATAAACTTTGTCAGCACTTTCAAAATAATAGCAAATACACTTAAATACATACAAAGTTTATTAAAAATAGGTTGCAACTCAAATACAGTAGAAATGGAAAACTACAGCAGTTTTGATGTTTTTTCCATAGTAATGCAGAGTTATGAAAAGCACTTTTACACATATTCACATTTGACCTAATTGTCCAAAGATGGCCAAATCCACTTGTTCAGGGGTTTTACAACCACACATACAAATATCCCTGTATGCAGATATTTACATGTATTTGTATGTACTTATGTGTATTTGTTTTTCTATATATTAACAGAGAAGTAATTCATTTGCATCTCTTTTCTTTAGGGGAAGCGTGGATTTCGTCACCTTAAGGCCTCCAGTGCTCTCGAAATACCTGGGAGGAGCCTGCTTTTCCTGGAACTTGTGGAGCAAACAAGCAAATCCTTCATACACACGCAGGGCCACTTCGCTCTCTTACTGAAACAAGGGTAGTGGTAAAAGCACACTTTCAAACAAGAACCCTGATAGACATAAAAAAATATTTACACTCGCATTTTTAATGATTAATCATACAACTCTTATTAAAAGTGATTTATAAGGCAGCAAAAGCCTCTATTCTTCTCTTTGAAAGTGTGCGTATTTTCCTAACATACATATTTGTAAGAGAACAAAGACATCCTGGACCCCACCCTTAGGGCTGTGTCAAATAGAAAATCTTCTTATAATCACAAGGTAATTCATCATCTTCACACCACACGGTATAAGACAGAGGCCCATCTCCCCAACACCAACCACAGGCCCACGGCTGAAGAAATGACAGTGGTAACTAAAAATTAGGCAAATCAAAATTAAATAACTCTATTATACTATAAAAAAAAATAGCCCGAACCACCATATGAGTTATTCTTACAACACTTAAATTACAGATGCCGTATGTCATCGAACCTCTCCCTTCCCTGCATGCGCTGGCACATCAGTGCAAATTTCCTTCAAATTTGGAATCTGAGCGATAGTTGTGCTTGAGTGTCTCCTGCCAATCTCCTGTCCTCAGACACTTTTGTTCCTAGTCACACGAACACTGTTCAGCCTGAGACATCCTCTTTCAGAGAGCCCTTGGGACATCTAAACTATTAGTTAACTTTCTAACATAGCTGTCATCTTTAAATTCACCAATGATTCATTAAGTATAACAATAGTCTGATATTTATAAAAATAAAATCACCTAAGCTTAAATCCTTAAAATTTTCTTCTTTCAGAATTTTTTTTTTTTAAATCAAATATTTAGAATTGATCAGGAGGGCTCAGACTTGTATGGAATGAGACACGATGGTCTGAGGTGTGCAGCATCTCACAGGAAGCTGCGATCTGGACTGCTGCACAAGGCAGACTGAAAGGACACCTGTGAGCAGACAGGCTCAGGTGACATGGGGACCACGCCCTCATGTGTTCTTTCTTCTATACAACAGTGTGTAGCCGCTGCTAAATAGTGCAAACAACAGTCAGAGTAGTTCAAGCTATTCTGTTTGATAACTAAATCAGTTTTTGAAAAAGAAGAGAAACAGAACTTCTTTGTGCTCCTGGGTCGATTATGGGGGGAAGATGAGAGAGAAGACATATCCCATTATCTCCTCCATTCATTCTATCCCCTTTGAACTCAAGACTCCAAAAATGAAACTAACAAAAAAGTTATCTTCATGTGAGCCAGATAACTAAGAAATTAAACAGTGTTTAAATTACATAAATGACAATCTCTTGGTAAAGTAAAACAGAATTTCTTGGAATTGAAACATCTCTAAATCCCAACCATTTTAAGAACAGAAATGACTAATCACTCAGAAATATAACCTCCCTTCCTCTTCAAACTCACACCTGAAACCCACAACGGAGAGAATTTCGGGGTAAATACAAGGTGCCCTTCTCCTGTTTTTCACTTTGTGTTCAGCTCGTTTTCCAGCTCTGTCAATTTGCGGGAAGCTTTTACTCTATTCGACACATCTTGACCTTGTGAGAAAAGACGCTGGCGCTCCTTGAACGTCAAGCTTTCAGGGGCTCCAGGACTCCCAGGTAAATCTGCCTCTTGGCTGCTAGGAGACAAACACAAAAGATTACCGGTTAAAGTAGAAATAACTTATTAACAATCAGGTAAATCTACATAGTGGGCAATTAATTAAAATTTTCAGAGACTCATTCTTTGTTAAATTTTGCTATTACTTTTCCTTTCGTTAAAAGTATACGGGCTGTATTTAAACCCACATAGGAAACAAAGGGCAGAATGTTCTGCTTATTAAAACATTAACTATCCCCAGTCACATTCAACTCTCAAAACACAAGTAAGTTAAATTTTAGCAAGGAGATAATTCTTATCAGTTAAACAAGTTTAACTGAGGGGTACAGTTTTAAAATACGACATTTTAATGAATCTTACACATACCTTAGGCATCTATATACATACCTAATTTAACAACAAGTTACAGATGGTACTGAAGATTCTCTGTTCAGTTCAACATCTGTATTTTAAGAGCGGCTGGGGCAGCAGCATTTCCAACTACAATCTAGGTGAGCACATTCAGTGGAGACATGAGGTCTATTTATTTGTTGTGCACCATCAGAGTTGGCCTCGTGCAGTCTAACAAGACCTCTGGACACTGTCCTTGATTTTCCCGCCTTCTCTGGTGGAAGCTGGCAGCAGCGTGTCCTGCTACCCTAATTTTCTGACAAGCAAGCCCAGTACGCATTTCACTGTCTGAATCAGAACTACACTGGCAACACGAAATTTACAAAGCTTATACGCTCACATGATTCTGTACAGTGGGAAACACCTGAGCAGATAATGAAGTTTCTGAAATGTCAACCCAGCTTTATACGGTTTTTAAAAAGTTGAAAGGAATGAAACAAGGCATCTCTGACAGGTGAGGTGACGCACCCGGCGCAGCGGTCAGTACCTTTTAGAGCGCTTCTCTCTCGGGTCCCAGTGAGCATCATGGGCGCCAACAACTGTGCCGGCAGATCCCAGGTACGAGTTGGGTCCTTGTCCATAAAAGAAAAAGTATAAGTTGAAGTATTTGAATTATTTCCAAAACTTAACTTATGATGCAGTGCTCATAGAAAAATAAGATATCTTTAATTACTGAATAAATAAGGCAAAAAGCTCTTCATGTCACATCAGATTCATCCATTTGAAATTTATAACTGTGAGTGGCCCGAGTAATCCAATCGCTACCCTCAAAAGGCACTACATATTAATGATTGACCTGACACCCTTTATTATCAGAGAGAAAAACTGTAATGAATATCTATCCAGAAAGTTTAAATCATATAAAATACATTATCATCATATATTGAAAAGGCAAGTCCAGAAATGGGAAGATGAGGCACAACTTATCGGATACACTCCTATTTTTCTTATAAAATCACTGGAGCAAATAAAACCCAGAGATTTAGAAGTAATCACATAATTGAAGTTCTCCTTTTCAGGACAGCGATTGAATTTCTCTTTTAAGATGAATGGCTATAATTATTAAAAACAAAATAAAGCAAAACTTTTTAAACACATGAGCTACAAAAAAAAAAAAAAAAAACTCCTAGTGTTTGATACTAGTGGTGCAGACACAAAATCACTAACGGAGCAAAAACAAGACTCGAAGCAGCACGGTGGGAGGGAAGACTGGGCAGCCGCTGCCCACGGCCCCAGCGATGCCCATGGCCCCAGGGCTGCCTCTGACCGGCCCAGACCCGTGGAGAGTGCAACCAGCCCACTGGCAGCAGTGTCTGCCCAGTCAGCTTCCATGGGTTGCTGAAGATCAAAAGAGGTGGTACAGATAAGTTTTAAATTTATCCAAGTATTAGCTAATATTGTCACTAATATAGTGTTATTAAAATGATTAAAGTGTTTCTATTAATTGTGAAGTTAGCAAGAAAAATAAATTCACACTTGAAAAATCCGCTTCTAGTGATACAGGCGGGAGTAATAAATGCCCCAAATGTTCAGCAAACACTGACAGCACTGAATATTGGATTAAGTAGGCCTCAAAATTATTACAATATTTTCACATTAAAATTCTTTTGTAGTCAAGTCACACAAAAATGAATTTTGCTTCTCTTCTTACAAGAGACCTGCATGCGAGCACACGACTCGTGCCAGGTGAGCGCAGCGCCGTGCAGCACTGCACCTTGCGTCCTGCCCCGCCTCTGCGGCAGTGGGGGACGTCACCTCCGCAAAGACTCAAAAGACTGAACAAGAGCACGCTTCCGCCTTAAGGCAAACCAAAGGGGCCGTAAGGTAAATTATTTGCATGGCGAGATTTTTTTTTTTCCAGTTTTAATTACAAATTTTTTCTTTATTTTGTTTTTAAAAATATTGTGCTGTATCTTTTGAACTTTAAGAGTGATATCAGTTTTTTCCACTGGTAAAAAAATAGATCCTTCAAATTTTCAGAACTTTTAGAGTTAACTGGAGTATCAAATACTCTCAGCTGACTATGTGCGAATAATACAAATTACAAATAATTTTCAAAGAGCTTTAGTAACAAATATTTAATATGTTGCTATGTTGAAATCTGGTGCTATTCATTCCAGTTCACATACTAATTCCGTCCCTCACACCACCCAGTGGAAGAAACCCGGCCCGGTCGGCAAAAGCAAGCTTTACCCGGGCGCTCGCAACACAGACAGAGCCGAACAAGGGAACGAGGCCGTGTGGGCGAGAGGTGCCAAGGTCAGAACGCCCTCTGCGTGTGGCGCAGACGGCGCTGGCTTTATGAAGGAGTCTTCAAAGAGGCCGAGCAATCAGATGCAGGTATAACCTGCTGCTGTGTGGTGCTTTAAGTGTGAAGCAGAACAAGGGTTAGTGTGTAAGCGTGAGCCAGGATGGTTAGAAGAGACGCTGCAACACTCTGCCAGCAAGCCTCCTATTCATGCCATGCCACTTATAAAGTACTTATAGTCCAGCTTATTAAATCTGATATACAAGGTGACTGATGCCATCTTGCTTCAAAATTTACTATTATGCCATAAGCATCTTTAAAAGGTACCAGATTCCAGACATTTACTATAGATATTTTACAAAAATATTTAAGTTTGGCTTCCAAAATGACTCAATCTAAATATTAATACACTAAATCTGCAAAGTGGATCAAAGCTCTGACCCAGGTGAGAAAAAAACAGAATTCTGCCAAAGCTCATTTGTTATGTAAGAGTTGCGATTACACGAAGTCTTAGAAGATTCAACTTCTTTCAGAATTGAGTCCTATGTATTGTTTATGCAAAATTATGCAGAACCTAGTAGATTCTTGCATACTCGTTAAAAGTAACATTACTGTATCTGAGGATGCTTAGTGCCAGACATCCAATTTCATTTATAGTTAAGACTAGCGTTAGATTAGAATCCTCATAATTTAGTTATATGTTAAACACAACATTCGGGGCTCTCTCACAAACCAACTACGGAATCAATGCCTGCGGTGGCCTCGAGGTCCTCTCCCAGGCAGGAGGACCGGCGTGCACTGCTGTCACTTTAGCGGGTTTGACTAATAGTAACGGCATGCTGACTAAGGTAACCAATGGTGACAGCATGCTGACTGAGGTCTGGCTGCTGGTGCCTCGAGGTGCTGGGGTGCAAGGTAGCAGGAAGGAAAGAGAACGGTTAAAGGGGAAAAAGGAAAGAGAGGAACTTCACGATGACTAGGATCTCTGGCCCTTGGCAGAGGCAGCCTGCGTTGAGGTCATAGAGCCAGTTAACCAGCTTAGCAAATGCTTAGCAGATGCTCCAAGTACAAAAACCAATCACCACGAAAAGCCGCTTAATCCAGAACAAAAAAGTTCTATTCATGTTAAAGAACGGAAACTGAAAATGTAACAATAACACTTTATCTTCAAAGATACTAAAATGTGTGAAAAGGCACTACTTTGTTCAACCAAAAAAAAATAAAAATTTGAAGAGGTAGAGAATGAAAGCCAAGACCAACAGTACTTCAAGTGATTCGGGGAGTAAAGGAGGACTGACTGTTGTCAGTTGATCAGAGAAATGGAACTTTTTAAAGCATTAAAGAAACTGGAGCGCTGAGACATCTATCAGAGCTACCAGCACAGACATCACAATTGGAGATAGAGGAGATCACCGCGCAGAGACCAGTGATCAAGTGAAGTCCAAATTCCAAAGCAAGGATGACTGCGATGGATCGTACCGCAGCGGCAGGAGTGCAGGGAGATTACAAGGTTCCAATCACGGAGACACACAGAGCTTGATTTGCCACTCTATCTTTTTTACCTCTGCCTGTGCGGTGGCTGGGATGGTAGGAGCCTGGTTTGTTTGGAGGGGGTGGGGGCTGGCCTTTTTTGTGAGCAGTACTGTTGGCTTTGGCCGAGGGTGGCTGGAATGAGTTGGAGAGAGAGATGCCATCGGAGGCCGGGCGCGGCAGGCAGGGGGGCGGCTGTGGCTTAAGGGGGGCAGGAAGAAGGTCCCCATGAGACTTCCTGGTGCTGGAGTACTTATCCTGACCTGCCAGGCTGCAGTCCTCCTCCTCCTCCTCCTCCTCCTCATTGTACGCAACAAACTTGGCAGTGAACAGCGAGTCGGGGGAGAGGACCTGGGTTTTGAGGTAGGAGGCGTTTCGCTGAGGCGGGGGAGGAGGGGCGCTGGGCACGGGGGACGGGGGCGCGGGCTCGTAGTCCCGAGGAAGTGGAGGGCGGCACAGAGCGGGCTCCTCGGGCTCCAGCAACCTGCGCGCCGCTTCATCCTGCTGTCTGCGCCTCTCGGCCTCCAGGCGGCTGTAATACCCTTCTTCCTGTCGCCTCTGCAGGCGGGAATAGACAAGAGTGCACAGGTCAGAGGTCAGGAGGGGACGGCCCACCCACTAGGCCATCACAGGGAGCAGACCCTATCACCACAGGACGTCAAAGCTTAGATGTCGTAATTACTGTAACAGAAGCTGAAGGTCAACCTGGATGTCTTCTCTTGAGACTTAGGCAAACACATGCTACTCTGGGGCGTCTGACGGCAAGCTGCTAGAAGCACAGACTGAATTCGCACTCAGGCTCTGACTCCCGCTTTCGACTGTTCAGCTGGACTTAGTGCGCCTCTGCCTGCCTTCCTGCCTGCTTCCTCTTTCCTTCACGCTCCTTCTGCTCCTGGCAGCACGGTAACTTACCTGTTACGCTGCCTTTAAGGACAACACAAGACTAAACATGGGCTCTGCCTGGCTGTCCAGGGCCAGCACGCCCGGGCAGGCCTGAGTGCTCCCCGCCCAGCCGGGCAGCTCAGCCCAGTGCCTGCTGGACAGGGACAGCGTGAGCAGCCCCAGCTCACCTCCAGGTGTGAGGGGGAAATTCACAGGAAACCACGAACTGTAAAAAATCACTCATTTTCCCAAAGCAATAATCTAACAAATATGCTTTCCACAGTTCTTAACTTGTATTTTGAATCGTAGTCAACTTCTTACAGAAAAGTAGAGAGCCAGGCGTTAATCGTAACAGCAACAAGATATTCAAATATATTTTGACACATACTGTACATTTTTTCTAACATACATCTGCACAAACTACAGTTGACAGTGTTAAAATTCTTTTAACATTAAAAAAGGTAACAGCACAGTTTTTAAGATTGACGAAAGTTTCAGAGCACAAGGAAAAGTGAATAGGAAGGGATGAGAGATCCAACAGAAGACTCTGCCTCGAGTGGTGTTTGGCGCTAGGCCACGGGCACGGCGGGGTTCTGACCCACTCCCTGGGAGACTGGTTTTAGGCCTTGCCGGCACCAGGTCTGCTTCCGTCCCTACTGTAACCTTTCGCTGTCCCCCATGCCCTCAGCCACTGGCACGCAGCAGACACACAGTGGTCACTGCCTCGGCTTCTGAGGGAGGAAAATCTAAGCATGAGCGCAGCCCATCATTGCCCTGAGCCCAGCTTCTTGCTGTATCTTCTTGCTCTATGTTGACAGATTCTGAAGGAAAGACATTTTTATCTTCTTGTCTACACAGAGTGTCCCCTGGGGTCGGGAATCAACCAGAATGACTTCTGTGGCTTTTAAATGAACCTATCAAGAATAGTATTAACATGAAGAACAGTTGCTTGATAACATTTTAGGGAGAAACCAAAACGTCCTCTTTTAGTTATACCAAGAGTAGATACAATTACAATAAGATGATTTTATTCTACTCAACAAATGAATGGCACATTTTTCTATAACAAAGCAAAGCCAGCAATTTTGGACATTCTGTATAAAAAATAGGTTATTCAGCTTCTTTTTACAGTGACCACTCAATTATAGAAGCAGTTACTAAAACAGGTGTATTTGACATAGTCGTGGGTTGTGAGAATACATGTTGGAAAAATTCAATAACCCAAGAGCCTCTCAACATACAGAGCACAGCCTGGCCCTTTCCTCCACACACGCACTCTGACGTGGGGCCGGGCCGCCCGCCACGGCTGCAGGCCAGGACCTAACTAGGGCAGTGAGCACGGCGCAGCGCGGGCAGCCCACGCTGGCACGGAACTGGAAGAGCATCTCCTTCCAAACGGCAAGAGGGGCTTTCACAGAATAGCAAAACAACAACAAACACCATAAACACTTAGAAATCAAGTGGCTCAAAATTTTGGAAATCCGATTTCCTTAGAAAGATCATCAATTTTGACTTATCATTATACAAGTGAAAGACTCATAAGGTAACCTAATCCTGAAAGCCCAAACTCTTTGAGAATACTTCGAAAGCTGTTCAGATACGACAGATAGTATGATAACAAACTTTAAAGAGGGTGGAGGTCTATAAAATGCATAAATCACTACTTTCAAAGTTTCAGTGTATTGAAACTTTCATTGAAATGAGTCACATCATGTCTACACTCTTACTCTTGGCTAGTTCTGTACCCTAACACATTATATCACTACAAAAAGCTTCCTGAAAGTTCTTTCTTTGGGGGGAGGCAGGGGTGTTCTACTAATATAGTTCACTGGACTATCAAGGAAGGAATTATTAGTAAAAACCCTTTCCCCATCAGAAGTTGTGACACTCAGAGCTTCCACCTTCACGGAAGGGAAGTAACAGAGAAGAGCAGCTTCTCTCACACCACACACAGCAACGCGCGGCCGCTCGGGATGGGGCGGCACCCCCAGCGACTAGAGCCGCCTCCTCCGGAGGCCCCGGCTACAAACACGCAAGACAAAGAGCATCCGGAGAACGACATCTCAAGCTCCCACTTCTCAGGATGTCAAAATTAGTTGCCATTTTAAAATTAAATTATAAAAGGAATGCTTGAATTAAACCAAAGCACATATGGAAATAAACCAGATTACATACTACGTTTTCCTTGCATAAGCCATCTACTCTCTTTACCACCAACCAGAACTGAGCAATTTCAGTCAACGTCTACCGTGAACAGACTGTCTTGCTGTGTTCCTACTGCCTCCCATGGTTTAAACTTAAACAATAACTGAGCAAACACCGCCTTCACAGTAAGAGCTGGACCATGTCCAGTGAGGACGGGAGCCCCCACTAGCAGACCCTGCGCAAAGAGGCTCCCTGCTGCACAGACCCGCGATCAGAGCGTGAGGGGCTCGCGCGAGAAGGCGAGGGAGCCTGGAGACAGTCCAGAGGAGAGGTAGGTGGGCCAGGCGGGGCTACGTTTCTGGTCCAGTGACAAAGGCTGGGGGTCCGGGCCCTGCTCTGTCTCGTGCACCTCGACACGCCCACGCCCCTCTGCCCCAGCCAATCGCTCACGTTCAGGCTAATTCAAGACTCTAGCTGCCCTCAGAGGACCATGACCTTTTCTTCAGCGTCCCGCTTTATTCGCTCCTCCTCCTGCTGCCGCCGCTCTCCCTCCTGCCGGGCGCGGTCCTCTGCTTCCCGCCTGCGCATGTCTTCCAGCTGCTGCTGGCGCCGCCGCTCCTCGTCCTGCAACTGACAGCACACTGACTTCAGCTTTCGCCTGGTGAGCTCCACAAGCACAGACATGAAGCGACACATGAACACAAGCAGACACACAGATACACAGAGTTACGTACAGAACGCCGGGTTAAAATCACTGTTGGAAGATGATAAAACTTGCGCATTTTTAGCTCTATTATTTCAAAATAATTGCCCAAAACCTTTGTAAGTTATTCTTCCATTAATCATGGCCCAAAGATGAAGTTCACCTCATATGTTCACACACTAAACAAACATGATTCTTTCATTAGAATAAATGTAAGTTAACTGACTTGTGTAAATTTAACAGACTCAAACAACAGATATACTCCACTTTATGGAATTACCGAACACACTTAACCTCCTTCTTCCTTTGCCTCTTTTTCTTTTTAATTTCCATTCTGAATGTTAAGAAAAACTTCTCTGCTCTCTTGGGATATGGGAGGTTGGCACTCGTGTCCCAGTGGGTGGGTTCGCGCAGCAGCACAAGACTGCGGTGGACTGTGGCACCTGCTGAGAGCTATGCCGGTGGCAGCCGCCCTTTCCTGGGGACCGAGGGTCCACCACCGCTCTTCCTCCCTGGCCCTCTGCCATCCCTTCTCTCCAGATCCCATTCTAGACTCCAAGAATTCCTTCCCAGCTCAGGAGCAGCCCCGGACTCTGCACCACGGAACGTGCACCTGAGACCAGCAGGAGGCCTATCCGAGCTCTGTCTGCCTGGGAGCCACTGCCGACCTCGCAGTGCGGCCCACTCTGTGTTCGGGGAACAACTGGTCAAGACGTTCCTATGTTGGTCTAAAAGTCATTACCTGATGTTTTTTTCTGTTTTTGGTCATTCATGTCCGGCCTTTTTGAAACAACACATAATTTAATACCTTTCCTTCATATCATTCAAATATCTAAGGATGTCTTCAAAACCCTAAGTCTCTTCTCTTTGGTTTTTAGCTCCTTTATCCTCCTGGTCACATCTCTATGCACCGTAAGTTGGAAATACCTTTGCTAGAAAGGAACCCTGGATTAACCACCAGTGCAGAACAGATTAAGACTCTTCCTTTCTGCCACCTTGACACACAGCTACTTCTGCTGTCCATGCCTCAGGCGACAGTGACTCTGAGCCCTCCGCATTTCCCACTCGCTCATCTGGCACAGGCCCGCCACCGCCGCGGCTGTGCTGCCACACGGCACCGAGGAGCCGGCCCGGCGTTTCTAAAATTAAAATGGAACTCAAAGCCGTGCAGGGCACTCTCTAGCCACTGCAGGAATCCAGGACGTATCCCAAACACACATCCCTGTGTTTCAGTTTCGACAGAATTACCGATTTGTCTATAAATGGTTTAAAGCAAAAACACAAAATGTTAACTTCTGTATTTGAACTGTTTGTATGCATTTTTTTAAAAAAACAGAAATCTACCAACTTCACTCGTCCTTAATTTCTGTGGAAAAGAATACTATATCTAGTGGGAAAGACATTAACCCGTGTCGTTAGGCTTCCATGTCAGTCAACAATAATAAAACATCTCAGAAAACAAAACCGTCTTCTCAAAAAGACAATTTAACTTTCTCTTTAGTGCAACCTAGGTATAAGCCTAACAGAGACGTCAGGGTAACTGTCTTCTGTGGGCTCTATGGCAGCAGCAGACGCTGGAGGAAGCAGCAGGAGGCCAGGGGAGGAGTCCACCGAGGCAACCAGCCTCTGCTCTGTGCGCTCCCTGCCCAGGGGCCACAGCCAGCGCTGGGGGTATTTAGCAAGAATTTCAGCCATCAGTATAAACGATGGAAAACAGGAAAACAGCATCCAAATAGAAATGATAACAAAATAAAAGATCAATTGAAACATTAAATATTCTACAGAAAAGTAATTTAAGGTAGAATGTAAAATTGCATTAACAGGGGCTTTTCCCTTACCCAACAAAGCACAAACTAATGTATGTTGCACTTTCTAGCCCTAATTAAAAACAAGGGATATCTCTGAGATAACCCTAAATTACTTTCCATACGGCTTGTGCTAACTTGCAGTGGGGGTAAACTCACAACTAGTGGATGCAGAGCACACTGCATGGGGGAAGGGCATGCTTATAGCCCTGGAGTGGACATGCCAAAGGCATCATATGTAACCAAAATGTTTGTACCCCCATAATATTCTGACATAAAAAAAATAAAAAATAAAAAAATAAGTTCTCAAGTTTTTTAAAAAAATAAATAGAAGTATGATTTTAAGAAATCAGAACAATTCTCATAATTAGAAGTACAAATGCTGTCTTATAAATCTATAAACAGGTATTTTCTCTTAAAACCTTTATTCTTCTAAATCTGGATGGCAGTAAGCAAGGAGCCTTCTTCCTTGTGTTAAGTTCATTACTTACTATTCTTAAAAGAAGGCAAATTAACCAGTGCTATTATAATCAAGGCAGTTTCTTTCCATTCTTTGGCTAAATCACATATTTCCATTTCCAAATCATAAAGTGTTTTGTTCTTCAAAAATATGTTGCTTTACTCCCCCTCATAAAGCACCAATGAGAAAAATGAGAATCTCTTAACTCAAAATAACAGCTCAAACAGCACCTTGAGCAGTATGGTTTACTCACATTCAGTAACGGTTAAAGGGTTACGTTAACACTTTGATAAAAAGAATGAAAAGTCACATGCCACCAAAAGCAGCCTTGCAGGAAGTAATATTTGGAGGGAGATCAGAATAGATAAAACAAAACAAAACCCAAATGAACTATTGCCTGAGGAATCAAGATAGTCCAGAATAAAAGTTATTCTAAATCAAGAACGATGCTGGGATTTCAAAGCCACTATGGAAGCTTGGACCAAGGTCTGCTATGCTGGCAGGCCACATTTCCCAAAATAGGTAGTATTTTTCCGGTTAAAAAAAATACAAGCTGAGATCTATGTATTTATAATTTTGTACCACAAAAATACATTAACTTATATCTGAACATAAAACAGGGTCAAGAGATAGCCTTTACTTTTTGGCATTTTCACTGCCTTTGGTACCATGAGACCTGGTTTCAGAACCCAGCTCTGCAACTGGTCAGCTGTCTGTCCAAGCCAAGGTCCACTCCATGTCACAGGGGCCACTTTCCTCACTAGGAAAGCAAAGTCCTCTCTCTGAACAGTCATTTGTATTAACTGACCGAGAGGAGACTGCCATAGTAGCACCCGGCACTCAGTTAAATGACAGCTTCCTTCTCTCAGCACAATACATACATTCTTTTTTTTAAAAAGAAAATCATAATTTTAGCAGCAGGTGTAAGATCTAAAGCTTAGCCACCGAAATACCCTAGCAGCAGGCACTAAACAGAGTAACCCCCGAGTAAGAGAGAGTGGCTCAAAGCAGCCCACAACATACACTTTAGTTAGTGACCATTTTATCTTACACAACCCTACAAATTTTGTTTTCTACTCCACAATATGTACATACTGGTTTTAATATGAACATATCTCTCCTCCTAACTCCTTGACTAAAGCCGGCCCTTCTAGAAGATGCACGGTGACTGTCCTATGGCTCTGACATTCGGGCACAGCCAATTTCATTCCAGAGTACTTCAACCTGAATAGGCCAAATATAGTCCAACTTTCTTCACACAGGTCTCTCTGAAGGTGTAATTCTCAAATTAGGCTTCCCGCTAATTCTTGCTTGAAATGTTTACAAGGCTTTTACTCTCATCAGGCTTCTATACCCAGGATGCGGAAAGAGGGGTGTGCTCACAGGCTGCACCCCGCGTGCAGACCAGGCAGGAAAGAGGCCTGTGTGGGAAGACCCAGCTTGCGTTTCAGGGGGTGGGAAACAGAGAGCACTGAAATCTCTGGCAACACTTCTTCCCTGGTATGACCCTGAGGAGGAAGTTTTTCCTGTGAGCTCCAGTGGTATCGGGGTCAGCAGACGACCCATCAAAATGTGGTAACAAGACAAAGCTGAGGCTAGTCACAGGGAGACCGCCAGGCCGAAGACATTTCCAGAAAGATGGCTCCTACTAACACAGTTTTATGAAAACAGGTATTTTCACGTTGTACGAAGGGCACTTAATATGAACTCAGAAAATCCTGATTAGACCTTGACTCTCACTTGATCTATGTGAAACAAGTTGAGTATCCCTAAATCCAAAATGCTGGGACCAGAAGTGTTTCTATTTTGGAATTTTTCTGGATTTTGGAATATATGCACATACCTAATGAGATGTCTTGGGGATGGGACCCAAATCTAAACAAAAAGCTCATTTATGTTTCATGTACACCTTATACACACAGCCTGAAGGTAATTTTACATAATACTTTAAATAACGTGTGCATAAAGCGAAGCTTTGACTACCAGCCATCACAGGACGCCAGGTGTGGAATGTTCCACTTACAGTGTCATGTCAGCACTCAGAAAGCTTTGGATGTGGAGGATTCCGGATTCCAGATTTTCAGGCTAGGGGACGTGTCTGTACTGGTTGAGTCTTCCACATGCTGGGTTGGAAGAACCCTGACCCTCACACGATCTTCATGATCCTGGGCAAATCTCTCACACGCTGGGTTTGTTATGAGGAAATGAGAGCAATACATGTAACTATTTGTCAACCTGGAGGCACAAGTCCCACGTCCCACTGGGAGGGGGAAGGGTAAGCTACTGCCCTTGGGAGCCGGCCAGGGAAAAGCCACAGCTGCGGTTAAGCCCTGAAGTCCTAACTGAACAGGCCAGACAAGTTAGAGACAGGTGCCACAGACGGGGCAGAGCACTGTGCCATGAGGAAGCAGGCAGACCTGCCCAGGGACCCAAGGGAAAGGCCCAAAGACAAAAGGTGCTTCGTGGGAACCTGGCGCTGAGGGGCCCTGTCCAGCAAGCACACCTGGATGTGAACAGGAGCATACACCACCTTGGGAAGTAAGATGGGGACCACCTCATAACAGTTTCACCCTTGGGCTGCTGACAGTAGGGAAGGACCACACCTTTGGGAGGCTGGGGACTGGCCCCAAGATCCCATTCCACTCACTCGACATCTCCGACAACTCTTCTAGAAACCTGGACAAAGGCCACTAATCGTGAGGAGGTGCAAGCTACCGAGAGGCGACACACGCACACAATGACGAGTAACGCTTCTAAACACCCAAAGACAGTACAGAGACACAGAGCTCAGCGAAGAGGGGCGCAGCACAGGCAGGCGGCCTCCCTGAAAGGTGCATCTGAGCCAGACGTGCATGGGGTGAGGGAGCCAGGCACAGGCACCCCGGCGAAGAGGTTGGCCCAGCACATGGAGGGACACTCAGGGTGACAGGCAGGCTAGAGGGGAGTGGGTCAGGGCGTGAAGGAGATGGGGCCTGGAGAGACCAAACACCACCTGTGTCAAAAAGTCTAAGTGAAGGGAGCCTCCCTTCTGAAGGCTGTGAGAGGACATTCACACGGATGGCCGCGTGTATGCAGACAACGCCACAGGAAGGGACCAGGACAGAACCCAGGGGCCCAGCCAGTCTCCTGCAGGGGCCCAGGCAGAAAAGGATGCCAGCTCAGGTCCGGGGTGCTTAGAAGTGTCAGCTTCTGAGGAAGTAAAGCCAGTGGACTTCCTGAACAGAGAGGAAAAAGGAGTTGCCGATGGCTGTGAGGGTCCTCGGCTAAGTGGCACGAAACATCCACTGACACAGGGAAGGGGGAGGCAAAGTGACAAGCAGTGCAGGGCGCACAGAGGACAGAAGGGATTTCGTTTTGAACATGCTGCATTTGGAAAGTCTTATTTGACTGCATGTGGAGATGTTACGTGGACGGGTGGGTATGAGTCTAGGAAGAATGCAGACCCCGGGCCAGGTGGGATGACAGGCTGCAGAGAAACCGGAGACAGAAACCATCCTAGCAGCCCTCCAACCATACGAAACCCGGCTGCTCCCGAACAGGAAGAGACCTGCCTCATTCACCGCTTCAGGCACCTGACAGTCCCGTGACCTGCCTAAGAAAATAGCTTAAGAACCATACACCATACTGTCACTGCCTATACGGTCACGTACCTGTCCTTATCCTTACTACTGCAGGAGACGACCAACACCTTTACACAAGAGCTTCTCCCAGGGCAACCTGCCCATTCTGACATCATAAGAAGTCTACAAATAATGTTGTTAAGAATATTAACATTTACTGGGAAATTAGGCTAAGAAATGCTCTGAAACATGTGACTAAGATCAATATTAATACTCAAAGTAATTACCTCTTAAAGAAATAAAAGTTTGAGATTATTTCTGTGGAATAAAAATCTTGGTGCAATCATTATTCTTAAGATGATTGTTTATCTGTTATAGAATTCATCACAGCATAAACAATTCTCTTTGAGCCTCAGAGTTGGCTAGTATATTAAAGACAACACCTCGGGCCAGTGTCTTCCATGTAAGCAAATATTTGTTAAATACCTCACACAAAGACATGACTCTAGTTGATGAATATTTTCCAACTACACCTATGTACACCTTAATACACAAAAAAGTAGAGAGGAAAAATGTATATTTTTAAATCTTTGTTTCATGTAAAAAAAAAAAAAGTACAGAGCTCAGAAAATACATCTTCTAATCACCAAGGAGGAGATATGTCCACAAGAAAGGCTTCCCTATAGGGTGCTACCGCCACTGTGATATTTAAATTGCTGGGGGGGGGGGCTGTTATTTGGTGAAAAGGCCATTAAAGTCGAACCTTAATTCAGGGATTTTTAAAGTACTGTCTCATATTGGGTTTATATCACTTAGACGTTGACTAAGAATACATACTGCCTTAAAGTTAATATAAATACATCATTCAGAACATAATTGTCTAGCAGGTGACACAGATATAGCACACAAGCATAATGGGCACTAGATGATCAACCAAATTTCCCCAATACTGACAATAAACACATGGAATTTACAACAGACTGTGACCTTAGGTATTTTTCAGCAGACTATAAACTGGCATGGCTGATAAACTAAGCTAAAATCCAGGTGATATTATTAAAGAAAGCACAGCATACATATATAGCAGAAACCTCTCTTACTCTACCAACAGTGACATCTTAGTTTTGAGTTCATTAACAACTGGATATTTCAAATGTATTTCTAACGTAACAAGAATAAAATAGATTACTCATGGCAAAATGTATTTCTTTTGCTCATGTATTTATGACTACATAAGAAAACACAGACTCGATTTATGACTAAAACTGAGAAAAGGTCAAAACCATAAACAAACAGTAACACTTAAAATTAACGGAGAAAAGCAGAGTGTCTAAATCTAGTAACATTCAAGGCATGCTTCTAGAGAGGCACATGGCCACATCTCCTGATCTAGGACACCCCTAAGGAGAACTGAATCTACTGAAAACATAAAATAATCACCACTAAAAGAAAAAAGAAAATCAAGACAGGAAAAAAGTACTGAAGGGAAAGAAACAAGAACATACCAAATCTAGAACAGAGATTGCTGGCATAGCAGTCTGCTGCAGGTAACAGAGAAGGAAAAAAAACAAAGAAAGATGAAGCGTGAAAAAAAAAAGTTAGGTTTAGACCTGTATTCTGCCATTGGCATATTTTGTTGCTATCATGCGTCATCTGTTTTTAGACAACCTCATGAGAAAAGAACTACACACTAATTTCTAGTATTCAGAAACAAAAAAATATCCACATGGTATTAAACACTTGAGTTTCATCATTAAATACACAGAAACTAAAAAGAGCAAAATTTCTCTCAGCTCTCTTATTTGGAGACGAATGCAGCTAATGACCTAAAAGCAAATATTTTACTAAATTATTTATAAGAAACTTTCCAAATATCATCATTGTACTAAAAGGCTTTAAAATACTCAGTGTTTTTTTGTTTTTTTTTAACCATTTGGAAAATCTCTGACAGACCTTCAAATAAAAACGTAGTCCTCACAGAAAGGAATTAATTACAGAAATACTGCCCTGCGGCTGCTAATTTTTCGCTCTTGTCGGGACGCAGGCCTAACTGCGGGAGCTGCTGACACTCTCTGCTCCCGGCCGCTGGCAGCGGAGGCAGAGCACCCCGGCCTCGTCTTCCAGGGTGGGCGACACAAGGCCGGGAATGTGGTCCAGTTTCTGACGGATCCCTTTAACATGCCAGCACAGACACGCTGTCTGAGGGGACGTACCAGCGTGGCAAGCATGCGGCACAACCGAGTGCCAGTGAGTTCCCACAGTAGGTGAAAGTTATTCAAAGCTCCCTTATGGCAAAAGTGTAGTACTCAGTTATTAATCAAATAGTTCTCTTTCAAATAAAATAGTTCTTACAGTGAATACAGTCATTCTTAAGGAAGCTCACTACCGATGTCTTGAAAAACACTAACAAAAAATGTAATAGTTAACATTTTGGCCTCATTTAAGAAACTTAAGAGGGATTTGAGCTAAATTCTGGGCAAAACTATATGTAAATTTGGCCGGGACATATATATGTTAAGACATGTATGTGCCAGAGAGACCTTTCAGGAAAAATTCACAGAGCAAAACGGAAAGGGACTGCACTGCTGAGCTCTGTGTGCACACCGATCATCACCCAGATTAAAGTTTGTCAGGAGGTGGAGAGAGTGAAGTGTCTGACCTAACAGCTATTGGTTTAGAAATTTTGTACAGACAGCATCAAAAAAGAGCTGAAATTAGAAACAAAATCCAAAAAACAAAAAGGACATGGCTTTTGACCATCTCTCCTCAGTTTACTGCACTGTATTTAAAACAAACAAAAAAATCACTAAAACTCATTAACACATTGTGGTCAGTAGCACTCTCCACAAATTATTATCCATAAATGCTTCTGTTGATAATTCTCTTTATAGGGTAACATCTTGCATTCATCTAAAATTTTGATTTTTAACAATTTGTTACATTAAACTGATTTAAATTTTACTTTTGTTCTTTTATGTGAAACAAAAAGAACAAATCATTTTTATAATACAGAGAAATATGGATAAAATAAAAAATTACCAATATCTTCGCACTGCACTTGAAATATAATTGTTTACTAATTTAATAAATACTTGCTTCATCAACAGTATAACTAATTACTGTAGAGATCTCGCTTCCAGTAATGACCTTAAATTTGGCCATCTGAACAGTTTATTTTGTTAACCACCAATGAGGTGCTGCTAATCGAGACCAGGAGCCAGCAAATTACCTATTGCATGTATTTGTAAATAAAGTTTTATTGGCACACAGGCAGGCCCTGTGTTTACACGTGCTGGGGGTTGCTTCTGTGCTCCAGCAGCAGAGCTGAGTGGCTGCCAGAGTCCACATGCTTGCAAAGCCAAATGTGTCTACCTGGCCCTTCAAGAAAAATTTGCCAACCCCGGATCAAGCTTGTTACTGGTTATGACAAATACCTGCTTTCTCAACTGAAGTGCTAATGAGAAGGATAACTATGAGTTTGCTAATTAAAACAATGCAGTTCATTTGAATTGCATTAGAACTGTCAAAGCACATGTCTCAAAAAGGTTCAGCCTTTTGGGCTGGCTCCTTTCCGCAGGCCGTGGGCCCACAGGGGCATGTACTCTGAGCACATTCCCACGGGCCTCCCGAACCCCTACAGAGACCAGGCGTGGCCCCTCTAACAGACACACAGGCTGAACCGGGATCACACCGCACAACCGAGGCATCTCCCCTTTACCCTGGCTCTTCGCTCAGCCTCCAGGCGCTGCATGATCAGCATGGTGTCCACGTCGTCATCCTCCTCTTCCTCGTCGTCCTCGTCCTTCTGCTTCGACTCCTGGAGCCTCTTCTGGAACTGCCACTCCAGCATGAGCTTCCGCAGGCGGCCGCTCTCCTCGGCGCTGCGGTCCGGCTTGCTCTGCAGCTCCTGGATCTCCTTGCTCAGCATGTCCACGATGTGCATCTGCTGCTGCTTCTCCAGCTTCTCCCTGGCGTCGCGCTTCCAGGGGTCGGGAGACAGGCTGTCCCCCGAGGACAGCTCTTCCCTGCTGACCGTGATGTACTGCAAGTCCCTGCGCTCGATGGTGCGGGGCTGCTGCTGGGGCTGCAGCTCTCGGATGACCGTGTCCTGCGGCCTGGGGACCGCGGCGGGCTTCTCGGGCCTGGGGGGCGGCGCGGCCAGGGCGGGCGGGGCGGGCGGCGCCTGCGAGCGCATCTGGCCCAGCTTGCGCTCCTGCTCGCGCCGCTTCCTCTCGCGCTCCTCCTCCAGGCGGGCCTTCTCCTTCTCGTACCAGCGCCGGTGCTCCTCCCGCCTCCTGCGCTCTGCCGGCACACCCTGGCTGGTAGGCGGGGGCGGCGGCGGCAAATCCAGGGGGGCTCCGTCCAGGTCACCCGCGTAGTGCGCCGGGGGCGGCGGGGGCGGCGGGGGCAGGTCTGTCCGCAGGGGCTGGGAGGCGGCCACCGCAGCGGGCGGAACGGCAGCCGGGGTTTTCCACCTGCCAGGGCCGCTTCTGGTCAGCGTGGACGCAGGCGTGACCGACTTGGACGAGTGGTTCAGATGCTCCTGGCTGGAGGTGCTGGAGTCCAGCGAGGAGCTCTGGTTTACCCACATGTCGCTGTCGGACTTGCGGGCCATCGCCGCCTCCGCCTGGTGCCGCTCGAGTTGGTAAGCTGTGTCTTCTCGAAGTTCTTCCTGGGAACGGGTAACGCGCTGGAAAAAGAGAAGAACTATTGTATTTCTGCCGTTTATCAGAAGAAATTACTAAATGCTCACAAGCATTTTATCTTCGGGGAGGAAAAAACTGGGAAAACTGTTACATGAGTATACAAAAGAGAGGCTAAGACTGTCCGAGAGCTCACTGGTAATGTGGAGTAACAGTAAATTTATCTGTAAAAAGAAGGGAAAACTGTACTTCTTTTCTGCATCACCGGCAAAAACAAAACAAAACAAAAACGCAGGCCCTTCACAGCTTGTGCCCTTTCTCACTCCTACAGCACCCTGCCCTGTCTCTGCATCTCCAGCACAGGGCCAGCCACGTGACTCCACTCCAAGAGGTCAGTGTATCTGGTCTAATTAGATAAAGATCAACATTGCTTTTCTAACCACTGCTGGAGTAATTATTAAACCTTAACCATTAGTCCATGCATGACTTTCAACTTCAAAGCTGACTACTGGCTTTGTGAGCTATGACAGAGCTATGCATGGCAATACACCTGCAAGTCCCACACCCCTGCGGTGCCTCCACTCCAGCTGGAAAAGCTGTAAGACACAGTGTATAATCTACACATCTGTGGCGCCTCTGCTCCACCCAGAAAAGCCGTAAAACACAGTGTGTAATCTACACATCTGCGGTACCTCCACCCCAGCCTGAAAAGCTGTAAAACGCAGTGTATAATCTGTGGGACACAGAGGTGTGTGTGTCTGAGAGAGAGATCAGAACGAACACACTTTCCCAAAGGGCTGTCCTAGAGTCTCAAAGATGGCAGGACTGAGAACAGTCCATCCCAATAAAAACAATCACTGTGATGTCTGAATCAAACATCTTTTTCCTGCTATGTTAATGAGTAGAAATTAAAAATGTAAGTCTGGAAAACAAACTGTTTCCTTTTCCTTAAAAAATCAAACAAACAAAAGCTGACTTATCACTCCCAACATTTTGCTATGGCTTTACTTTGTACACAGAAACAATTCTGTACCTCCTCGCGGGGTACAAAATCTAGGGACTACATAAAAGCATCATTAAGTTTCTTAACGTCCCCCTGCTGCAGGAAGGGGACCACGCCACGCTGCTGCCTAGACTTCAATGCAGCCCTCCCATAAGTCCTATCATAATTCTTAGTCATTTCAACACCTAGCCTCTCCATTTCCCAACTTCCTCCTCTAGGTATTGCTTATCTGTCTTGTGAGGTGGAAGCAATGGCAGCTACGTACTACAAACGTGAAGACTTAATAACGCTACTCCCATAAAACAGGAGAGAATGTGTGTGAAAGTGGGATCCAATACACGTTTTATAAATTGGGTTGCCTTGGTATATGGGAAGCAGATTTTCCTAAGGTTTATAACAAAGTATGCTAGAAGAACTAGGGCATGAAATTATTTTGAAAGTGAAATCTAGAGAAAGGTATCTCCTCTCAGCCAACTCCGGCTTGCTTTCAGAAAGCGCGTGGCACCCTAGCAGGGCGCCACAGTGAAGGATGGTACCCAACACTCACAGGCCTGGACTGCTGCAGGTAATCGGGCCCACCTAGGGAACAGGCAGGATGGACCAGCAGACCAGACAACAGGACAAGGCGAAATCTCGTGGTGGCCGAGATTTGTGGCCTGAGGCCCACTTTTCTGCCCTCGGCACCCAGGCTCCTCCTCATCTGAATTCATCTTGTCTCCTGGGAGTGCAGTCCTCTCCCTCCTCTGCCTGCTTTTCTCATCCTTCAAGGCTCAGCTCACATCCAAACTCAACACTAAATTTAGTCTTCTCTGACCACTCTAATCTAAGAATGATTATCTTCAGACGTCCTTTATCTGTTTACTATCCAGGGCATGTTACATATCCTAGACTGTGCCTATTTTTAAGCATATCTTTCATTTCTTCTCCAAATCATTCACAGTGCAAACAGTTATCTTTCTAAAAAGAAAAACACACTTGATAATGTTCCCAAGCTTAACTGCCCAGACTGGCATCTCCTCTCTACTGATGTGGTCAAAAGTCCAAATTCCTCAGCAGTCACATCGCCCTTCCGTCTGCCTCCACTTGTCTGCTCCCTTCAGCTGATCCTGGGCTTCTGTTCAGCTGCACAGCTCTGCGCCTCCTCCTTCCTCCTGCATGGCTCTTCTGCACAGACAACTGTGATGTCACCCAGGAGCTCGAGACAGCTTGTCACCCAGCTGGAGCCACCTCCACAGCAGCACCGACCATACTGTGTTGAATTTATCCGTCTCTTTTCCCAACCACACTGTGAGCTCAACAGGGAGGGACAGCCCAACAGAAACGGTGTGCAAAACATTTTGGGTTCCCATTTCTCACTCTAGAATCAGCAAACCCCGCCTTAAAAACTGTGAGGCCTTATATTATTAACATTCGTTAATCAAACATCAAAAGAAGAACAAAGAATCCTTTTTCTTTTTGTTGCTGCTGTGATTGCTTTCGGGGTCTTCTTCATAAATTCTTTGCCTAGGCTGATGTCTGAAAGAGTCTTCCTTCTTACATTTAAGTCTGTTATCCATTGTGAATTGATTTTTGTACCCCTATAATATCCTGAAATTTTTTAAAAAAATCCTTTTTCTTATTAAGTATTCTATCCTATTCCCTTTATTACTCAGACTTAACCATAAAATGATGAAAAGAAAGAATAAGAGGATAAGAATCCTGCTCTACAGAAAATATCAAGTGCGTCTCAAAAGTCACTCAGTTTTTACTGTCACCCTGGTCTATCTTACCCCTTTGAGAACTGAGAAAAGCTTGTGGAATCTCTTATTTCTAACCTGAATGGCAATACTGGAATGATTACTGTCTGTGTGCATATGCGGCTTTTCCTCATAATTTGGCCACTGGTTCTGAGGAGGAGCCATCCGGTCCTGGGACTTGGAAGCTGGGAAGGTAAAATACTCTCTGGTGTACGTCTGAGTGGGGATGGGGTAGGCTTCAGGTCTAGGTGGAGGAGTCTGCTCCTGTAAAATGTGAAGAACAAAGAAAAGTGAGCTATTTACAAGTGAGTTGTTTTACAAACAGACTAATTTCCAACAATATGTTTCAAAATACAAAAAACAGTACATATATTAAACACTATGTTAAAAATTAAGTGTTTGATCCTATACTGGAAATAATGAAAAATACTTTATTTTGCTCAGACTAATATATTAAAAATCAAAAGATTAGGCCGGGCGCTGTGGCTCACGCCTGTAATCCTAGCTCTTGGGAGGCCGAGGCGGGCGGATTGCTCAAGGTCAGGAGTTCAAAACCAGCCTGAGCAAGAGCGAGACCCCGTCTCTACTATAAATAGAAAGAAATTAATTGGCCAACTGATATATATATAAAAAAAAAAAAAATTAGCCGGGCATGGTGGCGCATGCCTGTAGTCCCAGCTACTCGGGAGGCTGAGGCAGAAGGATCACTCAAGCCCAGGAGTTTGAGGTTGCTGTGAGCTAGGCTGACGCCACGGCACTCACTCTAGCCTGGACAACAAAGTGAGACTCTGTCTCAAAAAAAAAAAAAAAAAAAAAAAAATCAAAAGATTAAATGTTGCAAATTTAGGAATTATCCTCAATGATAATTTGTACAGTAGTAATAATCTTATTAGATAACTTAAGCCAGGCACAACGGCTCATACCTATAATCTCAGCTACTTGGGAGGCTGAGGGGAGACGATCACCTGAGATCAGGAGTTGGCGACCAAAGTTTGGACAACATAGCAAGACCTGGTCTCTAAAAATGTTTTTTAAAAAATTAGCCGGGTATAGTGGCTTGTGCCTGCAGTCTTAGCTACTACCCGGGAGGCTGAGGCAGAAGGATTGCTTGAACCCAGGAGTTTGAGACTGGTTTGGTCAATATAGTGAGACCTTGTCTCAAAAAAAAATAAATAAATAAAAAATCTTATTAGATAACCTAGATATGGGAAACCCAAGTATTACAGTGTAGTGAAAGTCTTTTGCTTATTTCTCAGACCTCGGTGCAGAGGTTTCCAGTGGAGACAGACGTTATCTTTGCTGTTGTTCCCGAAGCATATGAACTTTTTCCTCCAGGGCTGGGAGGCTGATCTGGTAAAAAGTAAGTGGGAAAAGGTTAATATTAAATAAACAAACTACATGTAAGATGAAATTTAAGGGTCTCATTCATCTTCACACTGTTAGTGAAATGTCTAGCATAGAGATACAAAAAACAAGGCATGTGAGAAATCAGGTTTCATATCCACACCTACTTCTTAACTCATGAGAATCTAGAGCTACAAAGTTTTAGCTATAGACCTAGGTTTATCCAGAACTGGTAAACATTTTTAGTAAAGGGCAAGATGGTATTTACTTTATCTTTTGCAAGCCTTGTGTCTCCTGTTGCATATCTGTCTATTATTATTCTTTTTGTTAACTCTTTAAAAGGGTAAAAAACATTTTAATTCCTGTTGGTAATTTGCCAACCCCTGCTAGAGACAATATCGATATATTTGCTCAGAGAATCAACTGAACCAAAGGTTTTCTCTCTTAGTTTTTAATTCTGTTACAGAGATGTTAATTATGATGTCCCTTATGGAAACCATATCCTAGTTAGCTAATATATTCAGGTAATAATTTAAGTTGCATAATTAGCAAACCACCAACTGCCCACCCCCCACTTCTGACCATCAATGCACTCGGGAAGTGAGACAGGGTTTCCTCTTACTTGCCACGTTGGGGCTAGAGCGGTGATCAGCTCTGTTCTTCATCAGTCTGTCATCACCAGGCAGTTTCTTTGGTTCACTGTACTCTGCCCAGGGCAGCTGAGGACTCTCAGGAGAACCATTTTGAGCTGAATTATTATAGAGCTCAAAACCTTCACTCTTTGGTCGGGGTTTACCTGAGCCACGACGATCTGAAACTGATATCAAAGTACATTCAGTATCTCTTCAATTGTTCAAGATTTTATTTTCAACACCTAGAATAGCTTTAAAAGAAAGATGAATCTACGAATATTTATAATTCCATAAGAACTGCCCTCAGCAAAAAAAAAAAAAAAAAAAAAGCGATTTCATATAAAGGTAAATTCTTGCTATAGAATCTTAAAACAACTTTCAAATAAATACACCAGAAATAAATAAAACATTTTACTTAACTGGTATTCATGGGAAAATGTACAATTTTAAAGCTTATTTTCTCATTAACCGAAACTTAACCATTTTAAGTAACAAGTCTAACCATTTTAAAGTAACTTTTTTAAAAACTTAAATACACTTTGCTCACTTCTTAAACAAAATTACAAATGTTTTTAGTCACTGAGGGTTACTGGGGTTATTGTCACCATGGACAGCTATCAAATGTGATCATTCAGTTCTTTGTTATTTCTCAGTTTTCCAATCTTCTTGCTAACCCTGGTTTATTGTCTACTTTGAACAGCTTTCCTCTTTGATTTCAAATTCACATTCTAGTTTCCTTCTCTTCAATGACTCTAAACCAAGAAATCAGACAACTAAAATATTAAGTTCTATATTATAAAAAAAAAAAGTAAAAAGAGTGCTGAGTCAAGGCCAAATAATAAGACACATGGTTTTATTGGGACACCCTTTTTGTTTGTTTCAAGAAACAGTAGGTCCAGGTTGTCTGGTACCTTTGTTGTTGCTACTGTTTGTAGAATTCTGACTTTTGGAGAAGAGGGCTATAAAGGCCTATATTTAGAAGGCACACATTTAGCAAAGCATATTAAGAATGGTCTGGAATGTAAATAAAGATTTAGGAGAGAATGTGAATCACAATGGTTTTCTCCTGTGGTGTCCTCAACTGGCCAAGTGAGATGGCTCATGCCTACAATCCTAGCACTTTGGGAGGCTGAGGCAGGAATATTGCTTGAGGCCAGGAATTTGTGACCACTCTGGGCAATGGGGAGGCCAGGATCTCTACAAGTGCACACCTGCAATCCCACCTACTTGTGAGGCTGAGGCAGGAGGAACTCCTGAGCCCAGGAGTTTGAGGTTGCAGTGAACTATGATGACGCCACTGCACTCTTGCTCTGGGGGCAACAGAGCGAGTACCTTATCTCAAAAAAAAGTACTACATTTATGTTGATTTTATTCTGAGATTTTTTTTTTTTATGTAGTTACAAAACCAGTTCCCACAAATACATTACTTTATTTAAATAATTGAGTTTTTAAATAAAGTGAATTATAGTCAAGTGTTGAATAACAATGTTTCAGTCAATTATGAACCACATACACAACAGTGGTATCATGAGATTTTAAAGGAACTGAAAAATTTCCGTTGTCTAAGGGTACTGCAGCTATTGTAAAGGTGTAGCACAGCACACTCTCACATGGTTTTGGTGATGCAGATGTAAGCTGCCACACCTTGATGCCAGTGGCATAAAAATACAGCATATCCAATACTGTGCAGGACACAGTGCTTGATAATAAATGACTGTGTTACTGGTTTATGTTTTTACTATAGTATAAAGTGTTTACTTTTTATCATTATTTTAGAGTATTCTCCTTCTACTTATAAAAAAATGTTGACGGTAAAGCAGCCTCGGAAACATCCTCTAGGAATATCCAGAAGAAGGCACTGTTATGACAGGAGATGGCAGCCCAAGCATGTCACTGCCCCTGGGGACCTCCCAGTGGGACCAGATGTGCAGGTGGAAGACAGTGATATTGATGATCCTGACCCTGTGTGGGCCTAGGCTCATGGGTGTTTACGTTTGAATGTTTAACAAAAGTGTATAAAAAGTAAAAAATATATATATATAAAAAATAAAAATGTTTAAAAATAGAAAAAGCTTACAGAGTAAGAATATAAAGAAAGAAAAATTTTTTTTTTACAGCTGACCGATGTATTTGTGTTTTAAGCTGTGTTACTATAAAATAGCCAAAAAAGTTTAAAAACATTTAAAAGTTATAAAGTTAGTTACAGCAAGCTAAGGTTAATTTATTATTGAAGAACATTTTTTTATAAATTGAATATAATCTGTACAGTGTTTATAAAGTCTTCAGTAGTGTGCAGTAACTAGTCCTAGGCCTTTATATTCACTCACCACATACTAACTCACCCAGATCAACTTCCAGTCCTGCAAATTATATTCATGGTAAATGCCCTACACAGATGTACCATTTTTTATCTCCTACATGGTTATTTTTTTATCTTTTACACTTTCATTTTTGCCATACGTTTTCTATGTTTAGATTGTGTTTAGATACACAAATCCTTACCATGATGCTACAACTGCCCACAGGGTACTCAGCACAGTCACATGCTGTACAGGTTCGCAGCCCCGGAGCAACAGGCTGTACCACGCAGCCCAGATGTGTAGTAAGCCGCACCATCTACGTGAGCGCGATGATGTCCGCACGAGGACAAAATCACCAGAGGACGCATTTCTCAGAAACGGTCCCCATCATTAAGTGAAGCATGACCACATACACAACAACAGTATCATGCTTCATCTCAGCACATGCAGGACTAAAATAACTACTCATATACAAATGAATATATATGTATATTCCTTCAGTAGAGAACTGAACTTATTCCTTAAAGACTTCGTATCATGAGTTTGTCTATAAAAACTGAAAACCCATCCATTTGCTGTCCTGTTGGCTGAGCGCCTACTTTGTGCGGGGCCCACGGAAGCTCGCCAGCAGCCAGCCAGCTCCGTGGGGGAAGTTACACAGCTCTTGCGGACAGGGAGGGGAACCTGGCTGACATCTGAATCCCGGTTCCAGCAGTGACTTGGGAATCAAGCTCCAGTGCTCTCACCCTCAGTTTCTTTATTGTTAGTGCCTATTCCACAGGTTTGTGATTACCAAAAGAGGTCACGACTATAAACTGCACAACACCCAGTTACCTGGCTATGGTATGTGCTACCCCCGGTGTGGTCACCGACCCACCCCTGTCCTTACTTCTCTGCATCATGGGGGATGGCTGGTTGAGAAGGGTAGCCAGGCCGTGGTAGATGGCACCTTGCTTTGCGACTTCGAGTGTCACCACAGAGCTGGTTCTTGTCATGAGTTCTGCTGCCCTAGGAAGAGCGTGTCACACATGTAAGGAAAATGAAAGCCCAGTGTCTGCTCTGTCACTGCAACTGCAATGACAGTCGTGGTCCACGTAGCCTCATCAGCTCTCTTGAGGACAATTACCCACTGTTCATTTCCTTCCTTCAACAATTGACTATGAGAACATGCAAACAACACATTGCAGGTTATCATATTAAGAATTGTAAGATAACACTCAGTAATTTAAAGAAGTGCTAAGCACTTGTCTCTTTTCAGTTTCAAAGAAATTATTCTAGACTAAAACACAAGTTTAAAATTTGGTAACAAATGAAATGTCATGTATACTAAGAGTACACTTAAAAAGCTAAAGAGTAGTAAGAGCACAACTTTTTAGCATTATGTTTTGTCTTCCAATTTCAAAGTTTACTCTGAAATATGACCTAAAAATGCTAATACTAAACCTTAAACAAATCAATCATACCTTTCCTGAGAGAGTCCAACCAGACTTCGTCCGTCCACACTGAGGAGCTGATCACCTGCAGCTAGTCGTCCATCCTGGGCCCACCCACAAGGTGTGGACAGGAGTTAGTGGTGGGGACAGCGAAGGAAGAGAGAAGGAAAAGACAGGCAATGGTAAGCACACATCATGCTGGTTCTTGCAACAGACACTGCCTGTTGTCACACATAACTGAAAAGTATGGGTGGAATGTCTCACGTCGTCTGTTAGACACACGACACACTGAACGTCTGCTTCTTTAATACTGACCCCATCTGCAGCACCTCCTTTCACAACAGACTTGACATAGATTCCCAGTTTATCCTGGCCAGCACCCTATGAGAAACAAGTAAAAACACCACATTGAAAATACATGTTAAGAAATGCACCACAAAGTAAAACAAAAATAAAACCACGCCATGCGTACACAGATAACTCTAGCAGAGTCCTGGTTCTCATTTTTATACGAAAATTAGAAATATAAAAACAGTACTAACAGAATTAACATTCGATTTGGTAAAACTAAAGAATCTAACAGAAAATTCTTCTATTTCATGTTTCCAAATTTAGAAGAAAAAATAGTCCAGAAAAACCAGTTATTCATTAATCAGCTGATGAGAAAGCTAAATAAAATAGACTTGGAATCTCGAACTAAGAATGTTCTGAACAGCCCACATGAGTAAGTGAATTAAAATCTACTCACATAAAATGTTATTAATCATTTTGACACAAAAAGCAATTTACTATAGCATTAATATTTTTACATTCCATTATTTACCTATACCCCCCCCAACACCTTTGTTCTTTTCAAATCGTTTAAAATTTAAAACAAGAAAAAACTTTCTGTTCAAACAAAAAGAGGGACTTGGGTAATAACAGAAGATAATGTAGAAAATACTGTATATTATAACTCATGTACAATAACTCTAAATATTAAAGCAAGATCCAATTCACATAGAATTGACATATTATGAAAGAATAATAAAATCCTGTAGGACAGACTTAAGTACCATCTATAATTACTTTTAGAACCATCAATATTCTACTTGGACACTACAACTATAATATAAAAATCAAAGTTTTACATAATTTATTGTAACTATCAAAGGAAACAATCATGCATGAAATCTTACTTGGATATTACTGACAACATTCTACAACTCAGCATAATTTCTTAAGTCACAACTAAAGGCAAATAAAAATTCATTTCAAGAGTTATGAAGTATTATGTCATAAAAATAAAAATATATCGCAGAAAGGTATAAAGATAGGGATTTCAATAAATGACTTAATGAAAATGCATTTTCTATGACATCCTGGAACTGTAATTCTCATGTGGAACCACTCCCACTTCCCTTGGGTTAAGAAGCTGGGTTTGCAGAGGACAGCCCGACCGGCCGGCATCACCAATGCCCACTCCCACTCTCCCCTCAAGGGGAAAGGAAAAAAAATCAAGCATGTGGCATGTCATGTTTTATAAGCATAAACCACCTACTACATTCCTCATTTTGAAAACAGTATAAAATTTTTTAATTTAGCAAGACAACTCAAGTTTGGAAAGCGGTATGCTTCAAATTTCATATGGTTATATTACCTGGGAACAAAATTCATAAACGTTCTATACAAGGCAAAATCAAGAATTCTCCCTAGCAGCTCCTGGTCCTCTGAGCATCCCAACCTGCCCACCACGATCCGTGATATCCCTCCTGTGTCGATCCACACACCCCTCCTGTGGATGGCTACCGCTGTCACCTCACTGCTGGTCCCCACCCCAGGCCCAGAGGTACCCCACTTTGGAACTCATTCAGCATTGCCAACACAGTACAGCCAAGCACAACCTGTCATCCTTGAATAGACCTTTTGTCATAGAAAGCAATATTGGGGTAGGTGGCACTGCCTGAGCCTTTTTGTAAAATTTCAAAATGATATATACAGTAGGCACTCAATAAATGGCAACTTACTGAATTTTGGCATGTCACTTAGCAAAAGAGTAAAATAAATGTGCTTTTTTACCTGACTTCATTTATACCAATACTGAGTGTCCTTGAATCCAGGGCCCTAAGACATGCTGAGGAAAATTACTTCTAAGACATACTCCCACTCACTACCCCTTCTCTGTTAAATTGGGCACTCCCTCATACACAAGCTAATTCACTGAATTTTTACATATTCCATAATTTCAGGTACTGTATGAATAACTATTTAGTTCCACAACTCAGCTGTTTAAGCGACAATTTCCCTCATTCATCAAATATCAACTGAGTGCCAAAACTGCCCTGAGCTCTGTGTATACATCAATGAACAAAACACACAAAACCCTTGTTCTCATGATAGAGTTTTTTTTAACAGTCGTCCAATAATAACTCTGGTTGAAGCACTGAAAATCCCAGATTACTCCCTTTTAGCTGGTACCCTAGGTCAGACTTTTTTTTCAAAGATCTAAAAGCACTAGTTATTTTTTCCTCTGCTTTGTACTTGACTGATAGAAAAGCAATGCTTACTGAACGTCAGAATGCTGACTGTCCGTGTCACCTACATTTTCACGCGGCATTATCTTTTGGTTAATGTAATGCTGACTTTGTAATGGCAATAAGAACCATCCTTTTAAGAAGATAACCAATTATCATTTCTGACCACGAAAATGTTTAGCAATAATACTAGTCATACAGTATTTTAAATGACACTACTATAAATAAGAAAACATCACATATATATTTTTAAAACAATAAATCAAGGCTCCCTCTCCATTTCTGGTATGCTTCATAAGATTACAATTAAGACCAAAAAAGTCCCAAATACTTATTTAGATAAACTGCAATAAAACAAACTTTCTTTTTAAAATAAAAAAATCCAAACTGAATTCTATAAGACAATGAGAACAGGACTACTTTACTTCTCTCTAAAACCGAAACATCGTGCACACAGTTGGTGCTGCCATCAGTTAGCTCTTCTGTTACTCACAGTTCTCACTCTAGGAAGAGGTCTTTGCTCCACGCTCACAATAAAATGCAGCCTCGCAGCACTGTCTCTTCGGGTTTCAACCTCTTCACTCATGTGACCAGTAATCACATACCTGAGGGCAGCCATAGGCTCTTTTACTTCACAACTACTTTACATAAGTAGAAAACTAAATCATAGCTTAAATTGTAGATTCCATATGAACTGCAAATAATACTTACATAACCTGAAATCCTACGTCATTATAAGGCAGGGAATTTATGACACTGCATGCACTGTGAAATTTAGTAAGTATACAGATATTTGACAGCACTATTCTCTACCTTTAAATAGGCTGACATTTACATTATAAATTTCAGAAAAATTCTGGCAAGATAAGGATCTCTCCTCATGACTGATCTGTCGGGAGCACAGCTCAGATGACGCTACCCAGACCAGACCTCGCCAACTGCCAGCTGCTGTGGAGCACAGAGCAGCCTCCTGCACAAGGCGGCCGAGGTCTGCAGCCCTCTCACAGCAGCATGCTAGACCCAAACCGCCCTTCCCATCCGCCCACTCTGTTCTGACTCAGGTGGCTCTGGTGCAACATGTCTGCCCAGTTTCTCTGTACCTTTCGTCTCTGGGGCTCACTGCCACCACCTGCCAGCCCACTCACCTTCCCAGGGCCACGGGAGATAACAATCTCTCCTCAGTTACATTCCCACATGTCTGCCTTTGTTCCCTCTGAGCAGTGAGTTTCTCGTCCTGTATCACAGCCACCTGTACAGACTAAGTACAAGGACCTCTGTCCCTTCCAGAGCAGCTTCCCAATTAGGCTGCCTTACTGCAATTTGGTCAATTCCTTATTTTAAAAACCCAAGATGAGACAGTCCATAAGTTTATTGCATGAATACTTTTGTAAGTTAAGAAGTAACTGATATGTCCATTAAGTGTGAGTTAGCAATATAACTTTGTAAAATTACTGACTTAGAAAGTTAGAGAGTGAAGCATTTCAGACTGTTGGCGCCAAATGTGCTATTTTAGGACACACTCAAATCCATGACTATCAAGTAATGGACAATGAAAAAGACAAAGTATTTAGTATATAACAGATAACATTTTCTTATCTATCAGGAATTTATCTGAATTCTAAGTTATAACCGCTTCTTTACATTCCAAGTAAACTGATTTTATATCTGCTTGTCACAAGAGGTTTTCATTTGAGGAAAATAAGCATTCATGATTATGAGAGACCCATTAAAACCTAAAAGGTCTATTTAAGGTTGGTTATAAAAATCAGATTTGATTAAAAATCAGACAATGTATCATGAAATATGCTATTAAGAAAAATACTCTTAGAGGAAGACCAACATGCTGTGTAAGTAAAGAATCTGGATCTAGACTATTTTAAGTCGTATCCAAGTTTTATTTGGCATCTGGATCTCACAAGCATGGTCCCAACTCCATATTACTTCTCTAGTAAACATTCTCCACTTAACAGACTCCTCTGCAATGTTTCTGTGAACAGGTCACCATTCCACTGACATCGTACCTGCCCGCAACACACACTCACTGGTTCCACTGAAATGCCCTTCTCTCTTTCCACCTCTGCGGATGTGAATCCTGCCTACACTTCATGTCCAGCTCAGTCATAAATAAATACAACTGCTGTACAGAGAAATTATAGTTCTACTGGTAATTATTTTAGAGAAACAAAAAACTCACAGATGAATATCCAGAGATGAAAGGACTGTAAGGAATCTCTAATGATACTTATCAAGTCAACGTGGGTAGTTTCTTCCAACTCGGACAGCACAATCTTTGCCCAGTGATAAGGTGTCTACTCTCTCAAACGAGCCACGGCAGTGCTGGCCTGGACGCCCACCCTCACTGAGGGGACGGCAGGGTGAAGAGCTCTACCTCATCTCTGCCAGCTGGGATTGGAACAGGTCTGCTATTGGTCAGGTGCCTGAGCAAACTGTCACCTGTCAAGCCATAATAATTCCATAACATCCTGGAGCTCTCACTACCTGACTTACCTCATCTGGATAAAAATGAGAATGTTATATTGTCTATGAGAAAAACCTGTATAAAACAGAATTTAATTACTTCAGAAATATTAAACCACTTAATTTATGACTTATTTCTAAACAATAATGCATAATCAAATCTAGCCTAGTAAGACTAAACTCAAAACTTACTAAAATAAGCTATTAGTTCCTATTCTATATTTATATACACACACATACATACAACACACACACACCTATAAAATTAAAGTTCATATGATGGTAATTCCATTTCTTTTCAATTAAAAAAGGAAAATGAGGTTCAGAAATTGTATGTTCTTTGCTGCTGCATGTCAGTGTACTGCACATTAATCCCTAAAAGACATAAGC